GCACTTTACACTCCAATCATGTGTCATCTCATGAAACACTACACCCTAGTCACCATTATTCGTCTAGATACAGGAGCCTCTGGAATGTATCGGATTCCTGCCTCAGGGGGGCGAACACCTCGGAAAACATGGTCCTACCTTCACTGGCTAGCCTTTCCCACTTTTCCTCTCTTCCAAATCTCTCTCTCTCGTTTTCTATCTTTCCATTCAGCGAAATTCCACCAGAGGCCGGCTTGATTTACACCGCCTCATCGCCTATCTGACATGCACTCACAGTTCTGACGCACACCTCACAATAGAAGGACATGTGAGGGACAGTTTAGAGTTTCAGGACTGTTTTCCAGCTGCTTTCTTTGTGGTGAGGTCACAGTGAAAAAAAAAAAGAAAAGAGTAAAACACCACAATAAATGCTACGTGTTGCTACAGATGATGCACTTGGGTCATATTGCCTTTCACACTTGACAGCAAGCTCCTAAGCTCTTTGAGAAATTCAAATTATAAACTATTTTGTTCTCCAGTTCAACCACTCTTAACCTATCTCCCCTCTCCAGACAGCAACAGTTATCCCATGCACTACTCAGAACTGCAGTATTGAGTATCTGAGTCAGTGGCCTGCGTAATTCAGTCTGGGGAATTATGACAGTGGAAAATCATTTCCCCAGGCCGGGGATAGGAGGCCATGGCTAATCGTTCAGTAATCTGATCTGCCTGCATACTGTAGTCCGCCGCGCCACTAGCCTAGCCAGCCAGTCACACATGTGGACACCCACAGACCCTGCCAACTATCTGATGGACGCTAACGCTATTCAAAAACAACTCTCCAGGTTTTCCCGAGGATTACAGATGCTATCGGATCATTTGCTAATACCGGGTTTTGCTGTGCTGTTGGAGATGTATTTACTCTGCTCCTGCTCTCCAATACCCCTCACGATAGCAGAGCTTAAGCCAAAAAATGCCACAGCCACATTCCAGGCGGAAAAATGCATCAATACAAACTAATCTACGGGCTACAGTGCTACAGTCGGAGCAAAGTAATCCAAGAGCTTGACTTAATGAGGAAACATCTGAGTTTGTCTGTCAAACAGCAGGCATTTCTGGGGAAACTTCCAATTGTAGATTCCAGTATTTAGCGGAGCCAGTGGTGTTGTAGTAGTATATGAATAAGAACCATAGGGAGCAGCACAGGGGCACAAAGCAGTGCTTATACCCAGCACAGAGGCTTGGGGGGACTTGAGTTTTGGAAAGATGCCTGGCTTCAGCCCTGCTCTAAAGAGAGGTCTGCCACCCCGCACACTGAGTGTAGATACAAGGGGCACTGACATGGAAAAAAACAAGACCTGGCATGTAGTTTGGCACTGCAGCTCCCAACAGTAACCTTGTGTATCATTCAATGCTATAGTAGCTGTGAGTCACTGCAGTGCGATTAATCCTTTATGGGATGATAAGTACCAATAAGCAGTGAAAGCTATAATTGGCACAACAAACATTTTCTTTTTTTTTCCTTTTACCTTTTCCCATTCAAGCTTAAAATCTAAAGTGATGAATCGCCTGTGATCATGCCTCATTCTGATAAACAGCCAAAGACTGCCGGGTGACTTGATCTGTCATATACAGTCATATGCAGCATTTTAACAACCTCCGCGTGTAGGCATTGTAAACCAGTCCCAGCATTTCGGAAGGCATATCTAAGTGAAGGGATGCTGATATATGATCAAATGGCTGCGGCGGCAGTGGCAGCCTTCATCAGCTGAAAGCGCTAGATCACAGCATGTTTGGCAGCCAGTGGGAGCAGTCAGATGGAGGGTTAGAACAACCAGACAAACAGTTGGCACAGATAAATAGATCACAACTTAAGATTCAGCTTGCCACAAATTTCACAAACAAATGACAGCAAAAACACTCTTTTTAGAAAAAATAAAAAAATAATGGAATCTGCAAATGGAATAAGCTCTGCTTTTTTTCCTTTTCTTGCAAACGATGGGTGGGATATGTGATTTAAAACCACATGGTTTGCATTGGGAATAGCTAAATTTGAAGCATAGGTCAAATAAATCTCATGACACCAGAAAAATAACAGATGAGCTGGGCTTTTCAGTTAAGAGGCACAAGAATGTCTTCTGCAGCTGAGGAGCAATGCAGGGAAAGTCCTTATGACTTTGCCAAACACATTTTGAGCGTGAGTCATTCTTTAGTAATCTCTTACTCACATTAGGTGCACGCTTGCACGCGCATAGACCCCAAGGCAACAGATTTCAGGCAGGTCTGGACTGCCCCTTTTTGCTACAGAGCCCAGTCAAGTGTTTATAGTATTTAATAGAAGCAGCTATCTAGGCTGAGACACACATTTGTTCCATTTTGCACAACAAAGGGTAACAACGCAGACAAATAAAGACTTGAACTATCGAAGAAAGGACAATGGTGCACCATACAGCTATGCCACATAAACAGCATAATAAAACACTTACAGTGGATGAGTGTTTTTGACAGTGCACCCTGGACAGTACTCAATTAAGAGTACAATATGGCATAACCAGCCTTTTCAATGAACAGAGTTTATGGTGGAAACAAAATACTTTTTTTTTTTAATGTTACTAGGAAGCGATTTTTGTAACATCCAGCCTGCACATGATTCCTACAGGTCTACAGTCTTATGCGTCCTGTGTCAAAACACGAAGCCTGCCATCACTGCTGATAATAATTAACCCAAGTTCCCTGAAATCGTTTGAACAAATTGAGTAATGCATTCCCATGCTGATCTTTTATTCAACTCTGTCATGTGCAAGACAATTAGATTAGGAGCCAGACGACCATATACGACCTTTAATTCTAACTTGCACTAAAAAAAAAAAAAAAAAATCGTTTGGCCTTTTCTTTGCAAGAGAAAAAAAAAATTCAGACAGTGAAACAAGTGGGTTCGCCACTTCATTGTTATATAATTTGTTGAAGCGAGAATTAAAGTGAGCATTTAAATTAAAACTCCACACAACGGTTTGCTTCAAAGTTGCAAAAACAAGTTCGTGTCTGGTCGCTGGTACCGGGGCTGCATTATGGTATCCGGCTGCATAAAGGAATTCCGATATTAAAGCACAGAGCAGAGCAGCCGGACACAGCTCTCTATCCTGAACACAAACTTCCACTCGACACGGTTAAAAACAACAACGATATTCGTCCTTTATCTGCTGCTTTACGGCGGAGCTGGAAGCTACACCGAACGACCCCTCTCCACTATTGCACCGGGGCTTCATGTTTCCAGGCAAGGGGGAGTCAGGCCGAACACTGGCCTCATTCTCCGTCTGCGCCAGACATCGTTCACTAGCCTGGCCTGGGAGCTCGAGCGGCGGGGCTCTCGGTCGTGCACCAAAACATGTGCGAAAACACGCGCTCAGTGTGCCGATGTACTCACCTTGTTTTGGGATTCTAGTTGGGTTTGGAAACACACGGGCCGGTTGAAATGAGTGTGGGATTGGAGTACGCTGGGTGCATGTCGTCGCCGCCGCCGTCGTCGTCGTCGTCTCGGTTTTGCTTGTTGCCGTGATGTGGAAGCGGCACAGCGGACTCGGCTGGGAGAAATCGGGAAATCTGAGAATGCCCCTCTCTTTCTGCAGCTCTGTGCATCGCCGGTGGCCCATAACTTCCGATAGGGGGCGCCAACGCGGCACTTTTTTTTTTTTTTTGTGCCTCATATCTGCGCATACTATGCATCTACTACATAACTCCTCGAATAAATAACTGTGATCATATATCCTGCAGGGGCTCATCTGCATCCGTACTGTTCTGTAGTCAAGTTAGGATTGGCCTTGATTACTGTGTGGTCTTTTTTTTTATAAATTAATTGTGCAGAGTGGGATTTACGCTGAAACGTATTCATATTTGTTTTAAATAGAAACTCATGGGAGACTTTTCACATTATCAAGCGCCCATGAAAATGTTTCATGTTGTGTGTCAAGGGACAACACACTTAAATATAATTGAACTCCAGTTTACATTTGTTTCCCTGTAAAAAAAAAACTTAAATGGAAAAATAATTGCAATTTTCCTGGACGAATCCCTCAAAGCAGAGAATACTTTGTAGTGCTTGACCTCCTGAGGGGAAGCTGCACTATGAAAGATTCGCCTGCTCTTCAGACCTGTTTTAATCCCTGTCCTTTGACTCCACCACCTCACCCTGACCTTAACTAAACATTAGGGCCTTAATGCTCATCCGTAATCCGCAGGCATGCTTTGCCTCTCTAATTGGAGTTTCACACAGCAAAGACACTCTTGCCCTGAACAGGAACAGGTGGAAAGATAAACTGTGAGTGCACAACACAATTGGCTTATAGAATACAAGCTCACACACAGCAGTCAATCAATCTGTCTGTTTGTCACTCACTCTCCAATATGTGATGGAAAAAGTAGGATACTCGTATTTTTAATCAATTAAAAATGAATATGCAAAGAATAAATTGTATAAAAGGTGGCAAAACATGCTCAGCAAATATTGCTACTTCTGAAGTTTCAATTTGCCCTTTTCAGGGTTATATAAGGAACATTGGAAATTAGGCCTATTTTACAAAGGATAACATCACATTTTATAGAGTTTCTAATTCTCTAAAACCCTATATACAAACAAAGCACAGCACACAGTTGAATAGATAAGTGCAGTGGAGTTAAAAGTCATTTATTTTTCAATAACATTTCGATATTATCTTTGACAGGAGCATAAACAAAACAAAAAACCTCGTTAAAAAAAAAAAAATCAGTGTGCAAAAGAGTATTGATCAGATAAACAATGTTCCTGAAACACATTACATTACACTTCCAGTCAGTATCACACTCATGATATTCACATGCTCCCCTTCTTTGCGGTTTTTTTTTTTTTATCTACTTCTTCTGATTAGAGCACAGGATTAGACACAACACATATCTCTGACTGTGTCTTGAACAGTTCTTGAAATAGGGCGACACCACAAGGTGAAACCCGGATGAGACGTGGCTCTCTCTCTCTCTCGCTCTCTCCCTCCCGCCGCGCGGTGCATTGTGGTCGGACACCTCTTTGGCTCACACTCTGCAAAATGGCGACGTCCCTGGGCTCCAACACCTACAATAGACAGAACTGGGAAGACGCGGTACGTTTAATCGGCACCATACCTTTAACGACGAGAAGCAGTGTTACAAAGATACTATATTTAATTACATAATGGGGAATTGACCAGAGTTATAGATATGTATTAACCGCGCTTATCTAGCGGTTTTTGTTGTTGTGGTCGCTAGTTAGCTTCCCGTTAGCTTGTAGTTAGCTAATAGACGCATGTCCGTGAACGTCTCTGCATGTCAGCTTCAGTGTGAAAGATAACTCTGAAAAACGTCACAAATTCACTTTAGTAAAGCAGTCGTGAAGTACTGAGGACGGACTTTAAAGCTGAGGTTAAACATAACGCAAATTAAGGGTGAAATTAACAATAGCTTGCTCCAGTTAGCAACGCAGGCTTAACAATGCTAGCGCTAGCAGGCTAACACTAACAAGTCCCTGTTACCTCTCAGAGACACGTAAATACACCAAACCACAATGTTACTGCTTTAAATCTGTAATTCAAACTCTTATTTTAACTTAGTGACTGTAAATGTAGTAAAGCTTGTTTGTCACTCTTTCTAACACATTTCACAGGATTGGAAACAAATAACGAAATGACGAGATAACTTGTCGTGTTTTATTAAAAAAAAAGCGTTTTTATGTAACTTTGAAACATTGTTTATGTGCTTTTTCAACCATTCTTCATGTTTGTAAGTTGTTATCATGTCAGAAAAATGCTCTGTGTATTAGTTAATGATTGTATGTAATGTTGAAGTTGCCAAATCTTACTGTGCAAATAATAATAATCACTTTATTTATATTACACCTTTTAAAAACACAGGTTTACAAAGTGCTTTGACAAACAAGAACAAACTAAACCAAACACAGAAGAACATAAACAACAGCAAAATACTAAAAATAATTAAATACAATTCAACAGGAAAGAACTCAAAGTGCCCAACAGACATGTATAACCCGACCATCACAAGAACCATAATATAAGAACCATGATAAGAACCCAGGCTACACAAGAACCATAACAAATAACCATTAGTCCATCATATAACCTCTCTAAACGTACTCATCTATATAAGGCTTCAGATCAGTCGCCTCTCTTTAGTCATGACACAACACGGCGTTTGGCCAATGTTGGTTTTCTCAAGACACCAGAATATAAACTTTGAAACCCTAGACTATGTAGAGTTGACGTTAAAGAGATACTTATATTTAGGTGTTTGGCTTATGCTGTCAGTGGTCATTTTCAACAGCTAGCACTTGGATTGTAACAGCATCCTTCAGCAGATGGCAAAGTAAGAGTGAGCTGGTCCCATTGCGCTCTCTGTACATTCACACATAACTTCGCCAAAGTGCCCGCTGGAGACGGTGAAAGAGAGGATTTAGTTACCAGCTCATAACTTTGATCTGACGTTGATTTAAAAGGACAACACAGTGCTTGGCTTTGCTGGATTCAATTTCAATTCAATCTGTTTCCTTTGTCTTCCAGGATTTCCCAATTCTGTGTCAGACATGTTTGGGAGAAAACCCTTACATCCGTATGGTGAGAGAGCATAATCGAGCTATCATAATGAATCAGATATTATATTGTTGTAGTTTTAATACCGGTGAAGCTTGGATTCAGATGTAATCATCTTTTTTTTGTTTTCCAGACCAAGGAAAAGTATGGAAAGGAATGCAAGGTATGCTTTGAATTATTACTTCAAATCAGGCTTGCATTATTTTACGCTTGTCAGCTTCAACCTGTGAAATTACTGTCCATGTAGAATAATCTTTATTTTTTGTTACTATCATTCTTTGTCAGATCTGTGCTCGACCATTTACCGTGTTCAGGTGGTGTCCTGGGACTCGAATGCGTTTCAAGAAGACAGAGGTCTGTCAGACCTGCAGTAAAATGAAGAATGTTTGTCAGACATGTCTGCTGGACTTGGAGTATGGTGAGTGTTTCCCCACGACTCCTTACATTTTGTATTTAAGCCTTACTCTGTGTAGCTATGACTATGTGAGTGTAACTCCTCTGTCACATTGTGTTTTACAGGTTTGCCCATCCAGGTCAGAGACACCGGGCTGTCAGTAAAAGATGAGGTTCCAAGGTCAGATGTGAACAAAGAGTACTACACACAGAACATGGAGAGAGAGGTAAACTTGCTTCCTAAAAATTGTTTTATTTGTTGTGATTTTTATACAGCTGAAGTAGTTTTAAAGTGCTTTCAAAGATATCCTGAGCACTTGTATTTGTTCCTAATTTCATGTCTTTAATAAATGCCTTCTCTGATCTTCTTCTTTCTGCAAGAATCATTGCAAATATCATTTTTTTAATAAACGAAAACCTAGATTGGTATTTTTTTTTTCTTTCATTCATCACTTATTTCTGTTTGGATCTCTCTGTTCTTAGATTGCCAATTCTGATGGCACACGTCCTGTTGGCCAGCTAGGTAAAGCGCCCAGCTCTAGTGATATGTTGCTGAAACTGGCCCGGACTACTCCGTATTACAAGAGGAACCGGCCCCATATCTGCTCCTTTTGGGTGAAGGGAGAGTGTAAGAGAGGGGAGGAATGTCCCTACAGGTGAGAGGCATTTTTTATAAAATGTGTAGAGGTTGTTGCTGAACATTTGAAGTGCTATACCAAAGGCAATAGAAAAATAAATGTGTTTCTGTGATTCAGATTGATTGCAAGTATCTTAAATTGCTTGCACAATGTGCATTCACACATTGTGGTTTTCTTTTTCACTCAGGCACGAGAAGCCCACAGATCCCGACGACCCTCTGGCTGACCAGAACATCAAGGATCGATACTACGGCATCAATGATCCAGTGGCTGACAAGTTGCTGAAAAGGGCCTCAACGATGCCCCGACTGGACCCGCCAGAGGACAAGTCCATCAGCACCCTCTACATAGGAGGTTTGGGAGACACAGTCACTGATGCAGATCTCAAGTAAGATGTTCTTTCAAAACAATTTTTATCCAGTGTTAAATTCACTTAATAAGGATTTTTAGACTTTTTTTATAAGACAGTTTTAGACTCTTGAGTTCCAGTGTTTAGAGTTCAATCAGACCATCATTTCTTTAATTCCAGGAGTCACTTTTACCAGTTTGGCGAGATTCGCACAATAACCATTGTCCAGAGGCAGCAGTGTGCCTTCATCCAGTTCGCCACACGGCAGGCGGCTGAGTCGGCTGCTGAGAAGTCCTTCAACAAACTCATCATCAATGGACGGAGGCTCACTGTTAAATGGGGAAGGTAAGAATTTGTGTGGATGTCTAACTGCTGACTGCAGAACAAACTGCCCTCCCAGGGGTAATATGACAACCATGGTCCATCACCAACTTCACCTGTCTGCATCAAATAAAATGTCTCAGCTCTCATACAGACCCACTGACCAGATGTGGAGGTTTATTGATAAAATGTTCTTATTCAGATTTGTGCAAAGGAAGGGACACTTTTTTTTTTTTTTTTTATTAACACAATTCTGCTACTGCAGACATTCAGTTGTAGTTGACAAAGAAAGTGATACATTTATTAAACTTACATGGATCGTCTTTTTAGGTCTCAGGCAGCAAGAGGGAAGGAAGGCATCAAAGACGGAGTCAGTGAGATGGGTACCAGACTGGATCCAGTACCTGGACTGCCTGGAGGTGAGTCTGCAATTCTATCTATGATCTCATCGGGGGTTTTTATTTTTTATTTTTCAGATAAAATAGAACATCATTGAGATTTATTTTTGAAATGTTTACGTCTTGTGGCTTCTTAAACTATATTTCTCCGTGTGCTGTAGCTCTCCCTCCACCACCTGCTTTAGACGAGGAGGCTCCTGCAAACTACTTCAACCTGGACCCCAGCACCACTCCTGCTGTCATGAACATTGCTTTGCCTCCACCTCCTGGCATCAACCCGCCTCCTCCAGGTGAAATTATAACTGATTTTATAGATGCAGCTGGTATATTGTTAAATATGTCTATATAATAAGCTTTTTTAACATATTGCTATTCATTTGAAATGTATTTATTCCTTAATGAACATGTGGTGAAAAGGTAGATGCTTAATGCTGTGTTCTCTCTTTGTATCTCTCTAATCAGGTTTTGGCCCTCCGATGTTCCACCCCATGGGTCACATGGCTCCACCCATGCCCCCTCCAATGAGCATGAGACCTCCTGGTCAAATCCACTACCCCTCCCAGGATCCTCAGCGCATGGGTGCCCATGCCTGCACATGGCTCACGTCATGGGGAGTAGCTGCTGGAGTGAAGTCATTCTGTTACACGGTGTCATTCTTTTCCTCACGTTAACCGTGGTCAGGTGCTTTCACTTCAGATGCTGTCAGAAGGGCCTGTAACCGGCAGATGACTTCTGTGAGAAATATACAGGAAAGAACCCCGTCGCATCTTAACGGATAACATCTGATTTATTATGCCACCTGCAGTGCTGTGGATGAACTGAGCGTGCACCATCTGTGTCTGGACAGACGAAGACCAACACCCTACAAGATAACTTATCATCACTCGCAGTTAAAACAGAACGAGCCCTGCACCTGAACATCTGGAAGTTAAAATAGTAAAAGACTTAAAAGTTGAGAGAAATGGCCACCGTGTTCGGGGCCACATGGTTTGACGGGCTCCTGCCGTTGGAGCCACTGTACATTATAGAAATGTTACCTGTAGGATCAAGTTGTATTTGTCAAAATGTGCAAAGCATCGTTGGAGTAGAATTCAGGGGAGCATTTTTAAACCTTTTTAATTTACAGCTACATTTTTTTTTATGTGACACAATCTTAATATTCCACAACATAATGACTTAGTTTTCTTGTTAACCTTTCTTTGAATGTTGTTTCACTTCTTATTAAAAAGTCACAACTTTGTCATTGATCATAACAGAGTGGTTGTAATTCATTAAAATGAAAGCTGTTTGAACTACTGCATGATAGTTTAAGGAGCACGAGAGGGGGAAGAATCAGATGTTGTGGCACATATTATTAGTAAGTATGCACACAAAGGTTAGGTACAGCTTGTCATCCTCTGGCAGCATTTTCATGAACTCCACTGCGGTAATGATTTGATCCAGCAATGGGAGCTGTTCTTAACACTCAGCAATAACAAACCACTTCATATATCAAGCAGGATTGTTCTTTTTCTCCCCTGTAGTGTCTGCTGATTAACAGACGGATCACCTTTTGTAGGAGAAATGCAAGCATAGGTCAGTGCTTCAGTCTTTGACTTATCCCCCCCTCTCTCCTTTTCATAGTTCATTAGACTCGGGGCTGTAATCAAGCCCCCATCCCTTGGGTGCTCTGTTGAAGTTGGGCCGTGGACACATGCGGTTGACACTGGGCAGGTTCGGGGATTCCACGGCCTCAAAGTTGATCACTGGGATCACCCTTTTGCTGGACATGGCTCCCCCGAATGGCCTGGCAGATCTGAGAGACAAAGAGAAAGTCCCAAGTTAAGCCGGCTGATGGCATATTTTTTTTTCCTGGCAATAAAAGATGCTAGGTCTCATGTGGCTTGTATCCCATACAGAGGTAAAACTTTTAGAAGACACATGATACGCAGCCTGGTAATCCTACTGATTTTAACTGGTTCTGTCAGCAGGAGAAAACCTCAGGACGATTCAAACATCTTTTGTGATGAGCCATTAGATGAGTTCAGATTGAGTTAGGGCGTCTTAATATAATAGTTATCTTAAGGGTGTAAATTGATCTCTCCACCAGGGGGTTCAGTTCCAGACTGGCTGGCAGAAAGCAATTGACTGACAGCTTTAATTGTGTAAATCCTGAGTTTATCTTTCATATATGCTCTACTTCTCCATCTGCCAGAGCCTAACCTACGTACTGCCTTGCTGCTGTGATGCAATTCCTTGTGTGCTGCGAGAAAGATTATTTCCTTCGTGCGCAATCTGTCTTGTGGGGGCATTAAAAGCCTGCAGCCCACCCAGCGGATCATCTTTCAAGTGCCAAGCTTCAAAATAGCCATCACGCAGCCACACTCCAAGGAGGTGCAAGCCAGAGACCAGATTTATTTCCAAACTGGAAAGATGGAGCGAAGCCGAGGGAAAGGATGCTTGTGATGAATAAGGTGGTCAGGTTATCCTTGGGTCTATTTGGAGACGGGTGGTTCTCGATTTCTGTGCATCAAACCATATTGTATGTAATCATTCCTAATTTATTTGGCTGTCTGTGTTTCTGACGGGACTTACCTGTTAAAGCACCTGTAGTTGACAGGCTGTATCTTTTGTGGGAGCTCTGGCAGCTGGGAATTGAGGGTGTTCATGAGCTCTTCGTTACCTCTCAGAGCCTCTGTCCATGGGGAAAAGTAGGACTTGGGGATTACTGTTGTGTTGAACTTTTCTTTAGGAATTTCCTTCAGGGGGCCAGAATATCCTGACAGAAACAAAAGTCAAAGTGAAATGTCAGTCAAAAAAAAAAACGAGTACGATTACAGGTGTTACTTTAATATGGGGTTAATGTTAGTCTTTGAATTCAAGGTAACAAATAAAAGTGCCCTTTTGTTAAAACATTGCATTACGATAAAAAAAAAAACAGGCACCAACCATGCACACACACACATCTTATAAATATATACATTTCTTTGATGTCACTCCTATCAACAATAGGAAGTAGAGTAATTATATCTCAGTGTGAATTCCCTATAATAAACAGAGCTTAGCTTCCTGTCAGTCAGACCATAGCTGTTCCTTCTGTCAGGACCAATACACAGCAACACTCAGCCGATAAATGCATCCTGCTTTCCCTGCAGACTGCCAACTGTGCTGGCAAGAATAAAACCATTTTATTTACTCAATGCATTTCTCAATGAGGAATGAACACTAGCAGATTGAAGTGAGATATTGTGCAGCAGGGAGCTACTACTATGGTTTGGTGCAGTGTATGGAAATCCTTGCGTCACTGGGTATCACCACTTTACCTGGTGCGAGGACTTCTGGACTGCCCTTCTTTGCCACGGTCTTCTGAAGGTTCATGACCAGGCTATGCTTACCGATGATGGGGGGAGCCTGGTTCACTTTTCCCTCCCGCGGCTCGAGGATCATCTGCTGGGGAGGAACTGACCCGGAATAAACCTGTTAAAGCGACAGTTTGATTTATTTCAAGAGTTACATGTCTTGACAGGTACTATATTTATTTTCAACATGTATAGTAAAATGTGGGACAGCTGATACATTTAAAAGCGTATGGTAAAAAAAAAATACAAAGGTTAACATTAAAAAGTGAAGGTGCATATTTGCATTAAAGAGTAATTGGTAAATGTTGCTTATGAAGGCAGACTGTAGTCTGTATAATAAAATAAATTGTGCTGATGTAACTGTGCTTTGCGACATACAGTCTGGACAGAGTTTATCATCCTGATGGTCTGATGAATAATGTTTTCTTTAAGTACTGTAACAGGCTGTATTCAGATTAACACATGAATTTCATTTTTATTCCTGAAAAATGGTATTACTCCGCCTGCCTATAACAGCTTTGAGATGTCTTTAATAGGCTACTAAAGCTGTAGTTCAGGGTTATCTTAAATTGGAACTTCGACTGAAAATGTTAACCTACCATTAAACTGCTTTGTAGGAAGTGTGAATACAATGGTTTTGGGTTGCCTTCAAAGTAAAGATGTTTCAAAAAAAAAACTCAGCCTCTTGTTTCTTCAAAGTTCCACTCTTTCTTTTTTTCTTAAGCAGGAGTTCCGCTGTAAAATCTCTTCTCTGAAGTATTTTTATGTCTTGTAATAGTCCAATTTTCTCATGCCATTATTGAGATAAGAATTTAAATGCCTGTTGCTGTAAATGTCAGAGTCAGACCAAAGCAGCTTTTAATTATGAATTATTGCACTTTGATCAGTGTGGGGAAACCCCTAAGATTTGACTAGTCAACAACTATCAGATCAGATACACAGGTTCATCATTTTGGGTGTGTTTGTTGCAGGAAGTTCACTGTGTCAATGTGTTGCTGCATCAGCTCTCACTTTCTTACATTGTCTGTGTTGTAGGCACCACCAGCTGTGTTCTCCAATGTGAACCTCTCCACCCTCTTCTGCCTCTCCTGAAACATGCGAGAGCCTCGATTAGACGGAAGGTTAAGCTCCTCCATCATCACGTCTCTCGGGACGCTCATCTTCTTCCCCAGGTTCAGACCTCCTGACACAACACACACAGACAGAAGTGTTTGAATGTGTGATCATGTTTTATATCCCTGTGCATATCAGAGTAATATATATTTCAGACTAGACGAATGGATGCTGTGTGGTTGCCTCTAATCCTGCATAAACACATCATGACATTTAGTTATCAGTGCAAATGCAATGATAATAGCAACCTCCAGACATTTGGAGAGAGAATGAAAGTAACACAGACTAATAAGGACCTTTGGCAAATCTTAATGTCTCCTCTGATCTTCTTGTTTTCTGTCGACATGAAACAGCTGAGGGGCTCTGATATGAAAAAAATCCAAACCACGTGCAGCATCACTAAGTTGATATTCGCTCAGTTCTGCTTGGGGTCTCTTCTCGTGTTAAATCATGGCACAGCAGAAGGTCTGAAATAGCCTGGAGATGATGTCAAGGGGTGCGTAATGTTTGTTGTGGTCTGGGTTGCAAGGGTAACGGGGCATATAAATAGGATCTCAGGATGGAAGAGTCAAGGAGGAGTGGATGGCTCCCTTTTCTGAAACATGAAAAGCATTGGAAGAAGTCTGGGCATGTGCCACCCTTGAGGAGCTGCCTTTGATCGACCTGTGTAAAATTCGGTGGTGGGAGTCACATTTTGCTGAGTTTAGGAGACTTTGGTTTCAAAGTGTAGCTGGCAGACAGCGCTGGAAAAACAAACAGTGTAACTGGGATGGTCCCTGCTGGAATGTTTGGAGAATTTCAAACACACACTGGCTCTCTTGGGATTTGGGTGTAGCACATGGCATGTGTCCCGAGGCTGTGGGCGAACACACTTTGATGTTGGGCTCAATTATATATGACAGCCCCTGCTGTGATCACAAAGAATGACAATTTGAATTTTGGTGTAAATACACACAATAGTGTACCAAGTTGTTGATTCAATGTGCAAACCAGCAAGTAAACTAATACTGGATTGAGCATTCATGGGTATTAATGTCAACTATCACTTGTGTTAGCATACGACCCAGCGTGTGTTAATGTCAGTTCACTGCATCTCCCTCTGTTAGATCTTACCTCCCTGGACCTCCTTGGACAGAGCTTTAGCCTGCAGCATCCTCTGTTTAGTTAGGTCGTCCAGGCCTGCATGCATCATCATCTTGCTCCTTTTAAAGACACACAGTTCAGCATTGATTGTCACAAAGGGTTTCATAAAAGGCAGTCATATTTATGATGCATCCACTACTTTAATACAGCATTCAGCCCTAGGAATCTACTTAAGTACAAATTCAATTGAGGAAAGCAAGTAACACACTCTTCTGTAGGTTTCCTGTACTTTGTCCTCTTAGATAAACAATTAGTCCTACAATATAAGGTACATCAAGGCCAACCAAATTGTGATGTCCCTAAAATAACCATAGTCATGTGTTTCTCCTTCATCCCTTAACCGATACTTTAGATTTATCTTGATTTGTATCATGTTTAACTAAAAAACAATGTCTCACTGCTGAAAAACCCAAGTGAATCTTATCATTTAAAGCTGTCCCTCCAGCATCATAAAAATGTAGGATTAAATCTCAGTACAGTTCATTTAAGGACACCTTACACTCCTTTAAGTCAGACAGTTGGCAGTGCCTTCTTTCATTGCCTATCTTGTCCACGGTAAAGGCCTACACTCGCTTCTCCTCAGTGCTTACCTGTCTGTCTGTCTGTCCCTGTGTGTGTCTGCAGTAGTAGCTGAACTGGTGTATCCTGCACTGGAGCTGGGATGCTTCCACGCTCTCCTCTGACACTCCTCAGCCAAGACGCAACAGTCCGTATAAAACTCATCCCAGGAAGCCTCGGGCGCTGACCTCACTGAGTTATTTTAGCAGAGGGATAAGAGAGTGAGGATGGAGGGGAGGGTGGAGGGGAAATAAAAGAGCGATTGAGGGGAAGGCGCAAGCATAAAGATTTACATCCTGACCGCAAGAGTCTTTGATAATAAAATTTGATCCCCTGTGTGTCTGTGTCTGTGTCTGTGTCTGTGTCTGTGTCTGTGTCTGTGTGTGTGTGTGTGTGTGTGTGTGTGTGTGTGTGTGTGTGTGTGTGTGTGTGTGTGTGTGTGTGTGTGTGTGTGTGTGTGTGTGTGTGTGTGTGTGTGTGTGTGTGTGTGTGTGTGTGTGTGTAATAACAGCTGCTGTCCAAACAGAGACACTGAGCTGTCAGAGACGACCAACCTACCCACTGCAAACAAAAACATATAACACAATATACTTTGTCATTTGTTAATGTCCACTATATGTTTCCTATGAAGAGCTTTTTGGTTGAGGTCACATAGATCTGAGGTAAAAATTGTACAGGGTGAAAGGTAAAGCTCTGACTCAGTTTGCAAGTACATTTAGTTTTATAAGACCTTTGACCTCCTTTTCTGATCTGAGTTATGGACAGTCCCCTCAGTAGTAATGGGTATGTTTCAATAAATAACTACATCAAAATGTTTTTGATTTGGTGTTTTTATTCATCTTCCAGCTTGCCCACTGCTGAGAAGCTCAAGTTGTGAATTTCTGTATAAATTTGTATTTTGTGTCACACTAGAAGTGTTGCCCTTTCACTTCACATTTTGCTGACCTTTTTGAAGTCAAGTCAGTCTTTATCAAGCAGCTTTTTTTCCTTACAAATTGATTCATTGAGCTCAGGAGGAGCCTGAAGGGAAGAAACACATTTTCCTTATCCGGGTTGAGATTGGATATCGATTTCCCTCCTGCTCTGCTCTACAATGCCACTTTCCCCTGGTAGGAAGCCTCCAGGGCTGTGAAAGGAAATACGGAGTCATCCAGAGCCTAAAAACAAAATCATCCGCAGACACATATCTAAGTTGAAGAGTTGCTCAGGATTTGGGGTTTGCTTAAAAGCCTTTGTATAATGGAAAAAATACACATCTGACATAAAAAAGAAAAACACACACCTTCATTTACCAAATAAATCTAAGCTTTTGTGTGGCACTTTATCAAACAGAGCATTTGTAATCTAAATCAGTCTGTTACGTCCAGGCTTTTAAAACCTAATGTTATCAGTTCATGACTGATAACATAAATATGGTGACTCTTGGTTTTTCAGGGTTTTTCCTAAAAAAAGATAATGATAATGAAGACAGGGTGAATTATCTTGACGGGTGTCATCTGTGTTTGAGAGGCGGCTTCCACAGTGTGTTCATGTCACATAGAGAGAGGGCCATGGCCACCAGGTGCTGACACTGGAACAATACAGACCCATTCAGACTCAAGAGCCTGTGCATTTAGGGCACCTTTAAAAGCATGAGCCCTGTTGGCTTTCAGATGAAACTTTATTGGGCTGGCTTTTCTCAGAAGGTGTGAAGCGCCACAGGTTAGTTCAAACAGTTCAAGAGAAACAAAGGCAGCAGTACAACATATGGCTTTTTATAGCTTCAGCCTCAAAGCTAAATGCATTAAAATTCAGATTGCAGGCCTGAAAATGTCATCTTTCTGAACATTTTTTTTATTTTCCCTTGCAGGTACCTTTGGGAGGACTGTTTGAAGTCAATCAGTTGGAGAGCTGCCTTGAAAGTGTTCAGACTGAGCTTCAATCCAGAGAGACACAATGTACGGGCTGCTGTGTGAGAGTCTGCATGACTTCATTAAAGAGTCCTATGGGGATGACGTGTGGAAGCTGGTCAGAGAGAGAGCAGATGTCAGGTTGCACTCCTTTGTTACCCACCAGGTACTGTCTGTACATCTGAAAAATATCTTTTAATTCTGTATAATTCTGTTTTTGTAACACTGTCTGCTCTGAGGATCCTACTCTTGATGTCAAAGCATATATCTTTCTCTCTGTTGATAAGTTCAATATATGTGTGTGTGTCTGCAGGTGTATAGTGAGAGTGTGATACCCGCATTGCAAAAGCAGCCAGCGGAGTGACAGGCACACCTTACAATGAGCTGATGAACTCCTGGGGTGTCTACTTCTTGGGCTTTGTGGGGAAGTACGGCTATGACAGGATTTTGAAGGTGAGAAAAATCTCAGATTTGATACTCTGTTGTCATTTGGTAGGTGTGTGAGAGAATTATTAAATAATCAGTAAACGTTGTATGCTTGACACTACCATTGAACTAGTGACAGGTTCTGGATTTAATTTTTCCTTTTTTATTTATCCATTTGTGTAATTTGTCTTCTGTTTCTGTTGCCTTTTTAAATGAAATCTGTAGATCCAGTTTAACAATATTTGAGTGTTATTGAATTGCAAAAGAAAGACAGTTTTCTTATACAGTATACATATGTAGGCCTACGATAACTAAAGAATCAGTATGTAATTCATGTAAATATAACTTAGTAAAAAAATGAGGACATGTCACATCAATCGCTTAGGTTCTGCACATCTTAAAAAGAAGAGGTTGTTTGTAGATTGGATGTACTAAAACAAGCCTTAATGAGCTTAGAGCATTAATAACCAAAGTTTTAGTCTGTTTCTTTCCAGTTATAAAATATCTTTTCAGCTTTTAATGTTTCTTCAGGGCCATATTTTAAAGTAAAACTGGTTAAAATGCATCTTAATGGATTAAGATGCTAATAAGCTGTTGAAAGACAGGAGAAGGGAAAATTACAGATTTCTTTTTTAATTGGCTACTTAAGCAATTCACTATGGCACTTTCATAAAGTTACATGACTCAAGAAAGAAGGTTAATCAAAAGATTGATCAAAATGCAAGATATTCTGATGTGTAGTCACTTTCATGGATTTAGCCTGGCCCTTTATTTCAAGACCTTTCCCCCTTTAAGCCTAAAAACAATGAATAGCTAAATACTGAAAAGGTTGCTAAAGACATGATCTATCACCCTGTGTCTCTGATGTCAGGTGCTGGGCCGTCATGTTCGTGACTTTGTCAATGGTCTTGATAATCTGCACGAGTACCTGCGCTTCAGCTACCCCAAGGTGCAGCCTCCAACCTTCTTCTGCCAGGAAGAGTCTGCCACTGGAGTCACCCTGCACTACAGGTCTGCAGGATGAGAGGCTGCTGGAGATTGATATGGACGATCAGGCGTCAGAGATAAAAAGATGTTTGAGTCAATTCTTCTGACTGATATTGAGCTTTGTCTCTGTGTGACATGCAGGAGTAAGCGCAAAGGCTACCTGCACTACGCCATGGGTCAGCTGAGGCAGATGGGGAAACAGTTCTATGATACTGACATCCATGTGGAGGTGCTGTCTGAGCAAATGGTCGGAGACTACTCCCATGTAACCATGAGGTATACACACAGACATACACCATGCTTTATTACTCAGGTACTGTACAAAACTACAATCTTGAGTTAATTTGTTACTTTGTCTTTCTGCATTTGAGAGGGAATTACTGTATTGCCCCCAACTATGTCAATGTTGCAGCAGCTGGTCCTTAATAAAACACAAATAGGTAAAGAAAAGCAAACAAGATCAGCAAACCAAGAAGCTGCCGTTTAAAGGATTTACTGACAAGTGACGTTTTGAGCCTCAGACTTCAACAACCAGTGCTTGTAGACTTTATTGCACGTTGCTCCTTACAATGATCCAAAAATAGTTGATAGGTGCCGATAAATGGAGAATTCAACAAAAGCAGCATTCCCCTTTTAAACTTTCAATGATGAGTGGAGGTCTGTAGGCAGAAACATAAACATGCGTCAGTTTTCATTTTAGTACGAAGTAGTTCCACCTTTTCTCACAACAAAATTAATTTTCTTTGCAATAAATTAAGTCAAATGTCATGAAAGTTATCTGTACTATTTGATGAAGCGGTTTCACTTGCTGTGTAGTGATTTTCCAGCTTTGCTCTAGTATAGGATCTGAATATTCCTCCACAACAGTTTATACATTACTTGAACATTTTTAAAAACAAAATTGGTATGTCTGTGCAGACTGAACTTTGACAACTCAGCCTACCGCTACATCATGAAAGAGGATGAGGAAGAGCAGGAGATTCTGCCAATTACCTCAGACTTCTTTTTGAGGTCTTCCCCTTCAACATTGTCTTCAGACAGGTAATCTCTTTTAGAGATTAAAGCATTTTTTTCAATCTACAAAGGACAGTCAAAGAATGCAAAGAAGCCTTAGATGAACAGTAACTGTGATTCTTTGATTCTTGAGGACATGGTGGTGCACAACGTTGGCTCCGGCCTGGCAACAGTGTTTCCTGATCTGGATGGAAAGAAGATCAATGATGCCTTCCTGCTAGCTCGCCCCCTGGTGGAGTTCACATGGAACATGGTAAGACAAAGCTTCACCTGTCCCATATCAGATAGGGACCACTTAGATGCCTAAAACCAATTCAGCTCCACTTATGTAACACAGTTCTGCAATTAACAACAATGCATGTTCAATTCATCTCTTCCCAGATCATTTCCCACCCCAATAACCTGTTTGAGATCATGTCCAAGGAGCCTGTGAAGAGAGAGAGGAACCTTCACAACCGAGTCCAGAGTAAGAGTGGGAGCCATGCAAACACTCGCAGGGGTGTGTTTCTGGTGTGCAAAGACTTGCTGGCTTCTTGTTAGATCAATTTCACTACAGTCAGTAAGAAGACACCCTTTCCATTTCATTACAAAGAAGCGGACGTGCCATCAAATGATGCATGTACATGCAGGCCTACAAGACCTCATCTTTTACATTAACCCTTGAAAGGTTGCCGAAATAAGTTATGATACAAGGAAGTCTTGCAGTTGCAGAAATTTGAGTGTTTTACGTCATGATGTAATTTATTGTAATTGATCCCTGTCCTGGTTCATGGGTCGAGGGTGAATGTTTATGGCTCTTATGGTTTACCATGTTTTTCCACAGATTCTGACTATGAAAATGCCAACCGCTCTGCTGATGTAGACGTGGAGCTCATGGCTTTCCAATCAATCATTGGAGATGATTACAAAGGTCTCAATCTCTTTGCTTTCTACAAATGACACATTGCAGTACCCAAGCATACAGTAACTGAACTAGTATGGCAGACAACACCTATGAAATACCATTATAGCTAATATGATATAAATAGTTCTGTTATAGCTCATTTTCAGAAATACACCTAAATACGTTCTTGGATTGAGTTATTGAGTTATTGAGAGCTTGTCACTATGGGTTAGGGTTACCCTAACCCTAACCCTAACCCACAGCTGTTGTTGAGTCAGAAGTTGGTTGGCTGAGCATTAAAAAAAAGGTGAATTAGCTTCCTGAGCTCTGTCCATATGTAAAAACTATGCCTGCAAGCCCCTCTATACAGCATAGTGTAATGTTGTTTTGAAAAAGTGATATATAAAAAAGACTAATTAACTCTAATATTATAGCAAATTAACATTTAATATCTATTTGTACTAAATCAGAACATGTATGATTTTATTTGGGGATAATGTGCAGGACTCCAAGCAAGGAAAATAGAAACTATACAGAATTTGTATTTTTAGTTGCAAAATGTAACCTCAAACTCAGCTCTTAATGTTTTTCTTTGCTCGCATTCATCATGCTTCTCTTTTAGACGGTAACAGCGCTAATGCCATGGAGAGCTGGGGCGATGGGAGCCGCTGCCTAAAACTAAAAGGACAGATGAGATACATGCCAGAGTGGGAGTCCATCATTTTCCTGGGAACCCCTGTGTAAGGCCCCCCCACACTCACACACACACACACACACACACAAACACACTCAAAAGACTCAGATCTTTATTAAAAAGCTGCAGTAGAAAAGTAAAACATTCTCAAAAGCGGCGAGAGCTAAACTGAATTACGAGGCAGGAAATAAAAGACTGGGCAGGGAATCAAATCAGGGGCCTATTCTTACAGCACTTACCATGCATGAAATGAGCTGCTAATTAGCTTGTAATCAGACAGTGCAGCTCTTGTGAGCCTAATGGGAACCCATTTGCAACTGAGAGTGTTTTCTACTGAGTACATTACCAAAACATCTCCCTTCTCTCTCTGAAACATTTTGTTCCGCAAGTAAATGCTCTTATACCTGTATTGACAAAACTACTGAAATGTTAAATGTCTTATCGCACTGCTGACATTATTTATTCTGTAGCACATAATATAGCTGAGAACAAGTGCCATTTGATTCCCCATTTAAAATAACAAGCTAATGGTGTTTCTAAAAAGGTTGCGTAATTGTAATTGGTTCTGTAATTGGTCGAATTCATATTGTTATTATTGTTTTTATTTGTCACTATTTTGTAATGCTCCTGTTTCTGTGTGTGTTTGTGTGTATGTGTGCCTGTGTGTGTCTAGGATGGAAAGTCTAAGTGCTATGTTCAAGACGGGCTTGTACATCAATGATCTGAGTATGCACGACTCCAGCAGAGACCTGGTGCTGGCAGGCACCCAGCAGTCAGAGGAGCTGAAGAGAGCTCTCATACAGGTTGACTCCGACAAATGCATCTGCTTTTCTTTTTCTTTTTTTTCTTTTAATTGTGTGATCAACTCACCTGTCCACCGTGTGTCTTACTTTTAGCCCAGGATCATCCACCCATTGTAGACATGAGATGTAATGAAACAGAGCCAAGCTTGCATGATGTTTATTCTGTTCAACTACCCTTTGTGAGTGCAGGAGCAGAAGAAGTCCAGTAAGCTGGAGGAGAGTATGAAGATGTTGGACTATGAGATGAAGAAGACTGATGATCTTCTTTACAGGATGATTCCCAAGCCAGTGGCCAAGAGGCTTCGCAAAGGAGAGCCAGCTGTAAACACTTGTGAGGTCAGGATTGAAGATTGTGCCATTGGCCTATGAGATCAAAAGTAGACACTTGCTGCTCTGTGAAACAACCTTTTTTTAAGAGTTAGATGAGAAGATGAATACTTTTACTTTTACTTTTGCTGGTTAGCTTAGTTTAGCACAAAGACTGGAATCAGAAGGAAACAGGTAGCCTGATTTGATTTTAGATAACAAAACAAGCACTAATACTAATAACAAAGATTCAATTTTAACTGCACCAAGTAAATATAGTTACTATTATTAGTGAGCTCTAAAGAGGCTGTTAAGCAGATTATGTGTAATCTTTTTTCTAGCTACACAGGCTAGCTGTTCCCATAATTTCTGTCTTCAGTCTAAACTAAGCGGATCTTAACTTCACTTTAAACAGACATGAGAGACTTACAGTTTAAAGACACATCGTAGAGACATGTACCTAATCTTTTAGGAAGAAGCCAAGCACACACATACACACACAAATTAATCCTATGACTTATAACTTTTGTTGTAAGACAATTTGAGACTTGTTGCTATGCTTAAATTCTTCGTCTTTAGGAATTGCTTAAGAGTTGCTGGTTATGCACAATGAATGCCTGTCTCTCTCACCTGTGTGAGTGTGTGTGTGTGTGTGTGTGTGTGGAGTACAACAGCCTGCTAGCTCATCACCTCTTTATCTCATTTCCCCAAGGTGTTCCCAGATGTGACCATTCTTTTCAGTGATGTGGTGGGATTTACTCGCATTTGCAGCCACATCACTCCAATGCAGGTGGTCTCAATGCTCAACACCATGTACACGCTGTTCGACACGCTCAGCGAGAAGCACCGCGTCTTCAAGGTTTGTGTGTGTGTCCCATCTTCTTAATATGCTTTATTCATGCTGCTTTAAAGCTGCTGTTCCTGTCTTCTTCTTCTTCTTTTTTTCAATCTAGGTTGAGACAATTGGTGATGCCTACATGGTCGTAGCCGGAGCTCCAGAGAAGACAAAGTATCACGCTCATAACATCTGTGACATGGCCCTAGACATGGTGCGCTCCATAGACCACCTGAAGGACCCCTCAAATGGCAATAACATACAGATTCGTGTTGGTGGGTAGAACGTGTGTTGACTTATTTGTGTGATTATGTTGTTGTTCTTTTTAGTCTTCTAACTTGATGTGGTTGCAGGGATCCACTCTGGGATGGTCGTGGCAGGTGTGGTGGGACATAAGATGCCCCGTTATGGTCTGCACGGTGACACAGTCCACACTGCATCCGCCATGGAGAGCAATGGAAAGGTAGGTGGAGAATACAAGTGAAAGCTTGACATAAAGCAAAGATGGATAAGTCAGTTCTGTTATGACAAAGGTTTAAGTTTTTATGATTTTCTTTTGACTATCTGGTTCTTCTTTGTCTCATTCAGGAGATGCACATTCAGCTCAGCAGTGCCACCTACGAGCACCTGAAAGGAAGTCACTTTATTTTTGAAAGAAGGGGCATTATTACCATCAAGGTTAGGAGTCAAAACGGTTGCCACAGCAACCACACCCTCCATATTAATTGCATTCACTCTTCCACTTTAACACCATGTGATAAGAATTACTTCCTATAAAATATGTGAGTGAGAAAGCGGGAGATTGGCTGCGTTCAGAAGAGTCTGTCTTAAAGCCTCATGATGAATTGATACATTATGAAGTGTGCTATACATAATCAACTTGAAACCAAACATATTGTTAATTGGAGACTTACAATAAGACATTATAAACATTTAGAATCCCCCCAAAAATACATGAAATAAAAGTCACTTATAATGTTTTACCTCTGGGAGTCAGCACACTTGGTATTCAGAGTGGGTACACCCCCACCCCCCCCCCGCCCCCACCTTCTTGATTTGCCAAATTTTTTTATCAGCCAGTTTGACTTTGAGCCTGAACATTCAACAGTACAAGATTTCTGAGGCAGCTGATTATAAGCAACAATCTCAAGAAGGCAAGGTTGACTTACCTTTTCATCAGGGATTTTGTTTTACCACTGAAAATCCACAAATTGCCTTTTGACTCTCTGATATGACCCAAATTGTCCTGAGTGTATTTTTTAAAATGTTTTTGTTGTCCTGTTCTCCTCTCTCCCTTTATTTTAAGGGTAATGTTGAAATTGAGACCTACTGGCTGAAAGGTAAGAGGGACAAAGATGGTAACGCTCAGGCAGCGTGTCCTCAGTTTGAGACTCAGACAATCAGCAAGGCCAACATCTCAAGCCCCGAGGAGAAAAGGGACGAGGAGAAACTGGTAAAAATTCAATCCAAAGACATGCTTGAATGGTTTACCGATCATTTGCTTTATTGCCACCATCATCATCTCTGATTCCATGACTCTCCTGCTGTCTTTGCCCCCAGGTTTTCCCACTGGTTGCAGGTGAGGATGCGGATGATGTCAAGTCTATTCCCTCTCACCGTATTAAGATGGAGATATCTGGCCATTTTCTGGAGGAGTCCTTGGAAGAGTGCCGCGTGGAGGAAATGTCGGTTCATAAGGTGAGTGCAAGGATTTTTAAACTTTCAAAGACTCTAATTTAACAACTTCTTATTCTTATAATTCTTTCAACTCCCTTGCCAAGGTTATTTTTAGCCACTTGTGCTGTTTTTGCATTCGTTGTTTTGAATTCAAAGTGAATTAATGAGCTGTTTCTTTTTCAGTCCCACTTTAAGGATGCATTGCATGACGGTCTGCTGGACTCTCATCTGGAAATGGACTCACCTGAATCTGAAGGCGGAGACTCCATCATAGAGTCCCGAAGCAGCTCCTGTGACTCCCACTCCTCCAAGAGTACTATGTGCACCTTGTCGTAAATGTGACCCGATCATTAGTTAGTCATTAGTTGCAAATGTGATCCTAATTCATCCACTAAAAGCACCAAATGGTATCCATATAGAAATCCTGTTTTAATGTTATTAAATTTTGCCTTTTTGGGGGAAGTTCATTTGGTAAACACCTTGGAAAACTTTTATCATTAGTTTGTACTTTAACTAGTCAGTAAGGCTTCTAGTGACCCCGAGTGATGTTTTTTTTTAAAGCCTTGAATCTAAATGACTGAGAGGTCAGTCACAACTGTCTAATATGTGGATTCAGAACATTCTGAATCTGCTATCTTATCTATCTAAGTTTTGTAACAATCTGCACAGTGGGAGAAGTTACCTTAAGAACAGAATGCGTTGGTTGGTTCTAAATCACGTCGTGCCAAACATCTTTGTATTTGTAATATGTGGAAGTAGAAGCCATATTATTTGGATGTTTCAACCAGCTACCTAGCCTAGCAGCCTACCGCTACTTCACATATTTAACTGCACTGACTGGTTATTTAGTCCAAAGGCATTCTCATTTGGGCCTGCTGATAATGCCCTTAGATATTCAAAACTGTACTGAGAGGTTCAAGACTAATTTGCATTTGAAAATTCATCAGGCGATGCCAAGCTAGTGTTTTATTGCACTGCCAAATCATCAGTGCTCATTTAGCTCTGACAATACAGAAATCTATCATAGCAATAGCTTTTAATTTTACACTTTGATGAGTTTGAAAACTTGCAAAAGGGCCCTATGTGAGAGACCACACACTTTTCAAAATATCAACACAGTCCAACAGAAAGCACAATAAATGAAAACTCTGCTACCGGTATTTACCATTTGTGTTAGTTTAAAAGCCAATGGCCAATGTTCATGGCCATGTGGTTCAACTGCACATTAGCTCAGTACTTTCATGTTCTGTTTTAATCTGCTGCACCTTGTAGATGTGACATCTTGTTTCAAGCCCCCCCCCCAGTCCCTCTTCCTCCTCTCCCCTTCATCTTGCATGTCTGAATTCAGTGTTCTATATCAGTCTTGTTGAAAACACAGCCCCAGCACAATGTAAACGCTTGTCAGCTCAGCGAAAAATAAAGCAAGGTGACTGCTGAGCCGCGTGCAGATCCATTAGTTATTGTTTGTCCTGTCACTCAAAGGCATTTGCATTCAGACTCACATTTGCATACGCATACATTTATCTTTTTTTTTATTGAACCCAATGCTCCTTGGATATGGTTTATCATTTTTCTGTGTCTATGTGTGGTCACGTTGCATCCACACATGCATGTGCATCCCCCACATTACCTAAACACAACAGAATGCCTGGAAGCCAGGACACAATCCTTTTGTACCTTGGTATTTCAGCTTATTTCAATGTGATTGACAAGTATGAAAAACATAAACATTTGTCCCAGTGGGTCTAACATTAAACTTATTGTTTGACCAAAATGAAGATTAGCTATATTTTAACCGCTTTTTAAAAACATTAGCATTTTGCCTACTGCGACTAATCTCTACATTCAGGTTTATTTTAAGAATCTAATATTTTGAAAAGGATGCTAACAAGCCAACAGTTGGGTTAAGCATGCTACTTGGCTAGATATTGCTTGGTAAATTACACACATTGTGGGTTTGTTAGCAATGTGCTAAATAGCAGACTGTATTCCATGCGGGTCAACAAATAACTAAAACGTTTTTTCTTAGCTAATTAGCTGGGTTGAAGGCTAAGGAAACATACTTTTGGTCAGTAAATCCCCACTGTAAATCTACAGTGCTTCAACACATCTGTAGGCTTTACCACAAATACATTAATAGACAGTTTAATTTCAGTTAACAAAGTCCAAGTTAGACAACATTCCCCACAGACTGGTTTTCAGGTGAACTGCACCTGTAGGTGGCGTCCTCCCGCTCTAAGCTGCCTCTGCTGGCTATGTGCGAGTCTTTAGGCGATGAACTGATGGAGCAATGGAGGCAGAAGGCGTAGAAGAAGGCAAGCAGGAGCAGGAGGCAGACAACACAAAAAATGACCACAATCAGGATGGTGTGAACTTGAAACTGCACCTCCTCCCATGGGACGTGCGTATTGGTGGAGGTCAGGAGGTTTAAGGTCATCGAGGTAGCATTGAAACTGTGTGAAGGATTCCTTGTGGGTAACTGTGGCTTAAAGGAAGCCAGTTGGGCGACTTCAGTCATGATGGGAGGATGTGGGTCTTCAGTTTTTTGGGGATTTCTTTGTTGAAGCTTGAAGGATAAAAGTATCTCAGGTTTAACACATGCACAAATAAACTAACCCAAGATAGAGTAGTGATTATTAGACAGGTTGAGTCAAAGGTAAAAAAGTAAATTTAACCTGCTAGAATATAAAAATAATGAATTTGTATTCAAGTTAAATGATCAACACAATACATTAATAACCATGTATCACCTCATTTAGATTATTAATTGTGGCATCTTCACTTTCATATATTTGAAACTAACATTTTCATTTCCGTATTTACAAAGAACTAAACACAGATGTGTCCTTTGTTCTTACCTGGAGTGTGTGTTTGCTGTGTTGTGATCCAGCCTCTCTGAGCTCGCTTTCTTTTGATGAGCACAGCTTTGGGGGAAATGAAAGAAATGGAGGACAAGAGCAGGAGGGCTGGACTAGAGTAGAGAGGTGGATGGTGGACCACGAATCACATGCAGTGTTCCCATGGCAACTCCTGCTGGAGAGCCACTAACAGGGTTGTGCTCACATTTGTTTTAAATAAAATGTGTAATTATTCTTATTATTGTTTTTCTTATTGTCTTGTCACCTTAAGATTAAAGGGTGTTTTTTAAAGTTTAGAAAATGAGATAATAGGGGAGAACACAATTGTATGGAAATAACATGAGACATTTATAGACCTAACGCTACAATATACACAAGTCACTTTAGACAATAATTATGCTTTTAACCAACAGGTATTCATGAAATTCAAGTGTGTAAAACCATGTTTTAGTGAAGAGCAAAGTGTCCTCATCAGGTTTTCTAACACTGCCACCTGTTGGTAAAAGAAGCAGCACTGAATAACACGCATCAAAAAAGTACTAACGCTTCCCTTGGCCAGCCAAGCTCCTGTGCCGTCTGGTCTCTTTCAAACAACCATAATGATCCTTTAGTACCAGCTGTAATTGGTACCACACCCCCTGCTGTGCTCCCTCAACAGGAGCTGATGCCTCAAAAATGTTTTAGGACTTGCACCAAATTTAGTTGCCATGGAGATGACTCAATATTCATTTTGTTATGACAGCTAAGTAGACCAATGGGATGTTTCCCCCCCCTTTTCATTTACTTATATATATATATATATATATATATATTTAAAACCACTCATAAATACTAGACAAAGGGAAAGGAAAAATATTCATTAGCATCATTTCATGTAGAGGAGGAAAGTGAACAAAGCCTGCAAACTGATTTTAGATTCTGGACTAGATTTTAGAGTGCTTTCAGATGGTTAATTATAGATCCAGAAAATACAAAAGATCCTCTCACATAGAGCCAAAGTAACTGACAAGAGGATTTTAAAGTGGGGTTTCAGACCACTGTTGTCTCGGTAGAGTAGAGCCATTTTGGGAGGAAGACCCAAGAAATAAATGATGTACAAATGTTTTGGCTTAGATCCAAGAAAAAATGTTCATTGCACGTGAAAGTTGTCTACACCAAGGGGACTCTTTGTATTTCTGCAAGGAGAACACAGTGCTCACCGCAGGATATTAGATGTGTCATATGGCAAACTAGCACTGTGAAAAGGACCCCTAACAGATATACAAATTACAGCAACACTGCTTGCTATGCAGTAGTGCCAGAATTAACATCCAGAACAAAGATTCTGAGAGAAAAGTCTCCATGCTGCAAATTAGTCAACCTCTCTGTGTGTAATTTCCTGCACTGTTTGTTCTTCTGAGCCTTGATGAGTTAATATCTTATTCTGCCATGAGGGTATATAACTGTGAACTCTCTCACTCTTTGCTTCTCAGAGTCGCTCATATGTGCTTGTGATCGCCGTGTGGAAATAAAGCAGATTGACAGCTGGGCAGGAGTGGATCAGTTTGGTATTGTTCTTCTTGGCACTCACAGAGCATTGACATGTTGTTTTACTCTTTCACTGAGTAATTCTATTATTTTCTCTTGAAAGGATATTTTACTCTATATTTAAATACATTTATGGATACATTTTATTGATTATGGCTTTAGTACATTTCAAAACATGGAAGAAAAACAGCATAAATGACTATTTTATTGTCAAAAATCTCAAAACATACACTTTACACTCACACTGAACATTTGCCTATGCTTTTTAAAATCTCCAGCAGGTCTACATGGCTACACACTCAGTTTGGTTTTCTCCCACTTAAAGAAAACAGACAAATTCACCAGACAAAGATCCCTGGGCGACAGGGGGACCAAAAACATACATTGTGCCTATAATTTACGTAATGAAGCTAACTCTTTTGAATTTGCAAAATATCCATAAAAATAACACGGATTGTAAAAACAGAAGTATCACTCAAATCTTCCAGGGGAGCAGGAACTTTAAAGATGTTGTGTTGATGTTCAACTGCCTGTTATTTATATTTTTAAATCATCTTTGTGAAGCTTGATATCTGTTTGACTCTGATCGCTTTTGTTTGTGAGGATGTTTCATTTCTTCTTGTTCACAATGTTGTTGCAAATCCAGTTCATGCCATCCTGTTGGGGAATGGAAAAAAAAGAAAGAGTCCAGATGTGTTACGTAGATGTATGGAAGATGATAAGCGACCTAAGGTAAAACATCTCTTTGAGTACTGGTTTTAAAAGCAGGTTTCTGAGATTTTTACTCTTTTTTTATTTTGATATTTAAGTCCGAATTGAATTACTTCATTCTCAGAATTCTGAATTTAATCTCAGGATACATATGTTCTCTACTTTTTCCTACCTATATACCTTTAGTTTTCCTCTGCAAGTACATTTAGAATTCCTAAATTATAGTCAAAAACAGGACAGATATCTGAGAATGTGACTTTATTGTGACTCCAGTCTCAAATTTCTGACCTGTATCTCAGAATACCTTTTTTTACTATTACATTTCTGGTACTTTTTTCTTTAAATAGATTCAAAATCCTGAGCTTAAACTGATGAATGCTTTTAACATGTGTTCCTTATCTTCTTCTGGAAAGATGTCACAACAGTCTGTAGATCAAAAGAGTCAGTACCTTCAGTCTAAGCAAGTCAAAGAGATTTTGATAACAATAAAGTCCACACTAGCTCAGACTGATTTTCAGAATCAAATTGCACAGCCTAGTGGCAGGAAGCAGTTACTTAATGGTTTAAATAGGCTACTTCTGAGAGGAAATCAATGAATCAAAAACGGAACTAGGTCTTACCTGAACTCCCTCCCCAGACACGGCTGAGCAGGCCTGAATCTGCCACTCACGGTCACGGTACGTATGCAGGTTGAGTCCCTCAGCGACCTCACTGGCTGGTGATGCTGTGGCTAGATCCTGCTTGTTGGCGAAGATGAGCACAGGAACTCCCTTTAGATTCTCCTCATCGATCAGCTCAGACAGCTCCTGCACATGCATACACATGTTATTGACTTTGAAAAACACGCAAAAATCCATATCTCAGTTTAAAAAACAAATAGTGAAAAACACATTTTCAAATATAGGAACTAATGTGTGCATCAAACTCACCAGTCCCGTCTCCTCAAACCGCTTCTTGTCTGCACTGTCAATAACATAGATCTGAAAGAAGAAACAAACATGTGGGAAATAAATTTTAGGGAATAAATAATTATTGGATTTTAAAGATGTATAATATCATTATGTCTTATGTTTAATAAAAGTCCTCAAGGTGTCTGTCTCTATACAGATACTCCTAAACAGCAGCCAAACACTTATTTATAGAATGAGACACAACCTTTATTTTACAAATGAGGCTGTTCACCGAGATAAGTTGGTGCAAATAAGTGGTATTACTTCAATGTATTTTCAGTCAAGTCCTAAGGAAACCCTGGGATGACTACAGAGAGTAAAGCAAATGTCTCCAGAGAGAACATTTCTTTTGCATTGATATTAATGAACTTTTATTCACTCACCAATAGGTCTGTGTTTTCCAGGTACTTTTTCCAGAAGGGCCTGATCTTCCTCTGTCCTCCAATGTCCCAAACATTGAGTTTCATACCATGAGAGGCGACGCTCTTGATGTTGAAGCCCTGACGTTAAACACAAAGCTGTTGTCACCGTGTTGGACATTCATTTAAACACAGTTCCAACAAGGGAGCATATGGAAAGTCTCAAATGATTATAAAGTAATTCATTAAGCAGCAATGTACCAGAGCACAGGTGTGTGTGTGTTAAGTGAATCACTGTTTGGTTACTCAGTGTTGTCACCTTGTTATGTATCAGCAGCAGAGGAACATGTGCTCTGGGTGTTTTATAAGGATGTGATAACTGTGATTATCTGCGGCTGTTTCTCATAACACTGCTCCTTTTGGTTTCAGTTTGTGAGGTTGTATAACATCTTTATCCTGAGGGCCTGCCGAGGAGCAAATCTGCGGATAAGACATGGAGGATCAAGAGCAGTGTATGTGTGCCTGTGTCAAGTCTGGTTTAGCCTTGTGGTGACTATTGCTATGATATAATGGCGTGCAACCATGATTCCTGGTGTTTGATGGACTCTCACACTGTGGGAGTTCCTAGAAGTACATTTGCTCTTCAGTGTTATATATTCACATTAGAAGTTTGATAATCATACCCCAAACAGGGGGCTAAAAAATTTTTTCCGTCACAGTAGAAGGATTTTGTTCAGGAAACATGTGATGTGAGCTTGCATATCTGGAAGGTCATGAAGTTTAAAGCTATGGTTTGTCTCCTGCTGAAAGCTTATTTCATATCAAAGGCAGATTTGGCATCCACAATTGATTACCTCACTCATTGGAGGGTAAAGCATGAGAACAGCAAGCCAAATAATTACATTTAACATTGTGTGAAAAAAAACAAAGGTCATCTGAATCCCATTGCTTTGAGCAAGAGCGTGCATTGACCTAGCTGGTCTCACAAGATTATATAAACCCCCCCCCCCCCCCCCCCACCTCCCACCCCGCCCCAATCCCAAATCCTGCCTTTCATAATGTGTTACAGTAGCACAACAATTGTAAAATATAGTTTGAAAAGTCACATTCAACACGACAAATCTGTCAGCACAGACAAGTGTTGCTCTTGTTTCAGTGACAGCAGACAAATTGGATTGTTCTCTCGACAGTGGGAACTAGTTTGTGATAAAAACACTGACAGCATATTTTTGGCAGATGCTGTTTTTCTAATAGACACTTAATGATAAACTTCAGCACATTATGTTCCAAAGCGGCTTGGTTGTTCATTGTAGGACGCATTCATTAAAACCAAGGACACAAAAACAGCATATTTAAGCATGCCAAATAGTTGGTGTTTTATGCTTTATCATTTTTGACAGCGAGTGACTTTCCTCAAGGTTATGATGCATGTGGGACTGTGAGTGTTGTAATTCCCTCACCTGTGTTGGTGTGATGGTGTTCACATCCTCTGAGGCAAGGCTCTTTAGCAGGGTGGTCTTTCCAGCGTTGTCCAACCCCAGCAGCACTATCCTGACCTCCTGCTCTGTGGATCCCTTCAGTTTCTCAATGACAGAGAGTAAGCCCTGCATGTAGGGGAGGTGTGGAGAGACAAGTTAGACCAAATCCTTACTGCAGTGACCCTCTGTTATTTAGAACATGTATCTTATCTTTTGCTCAACTGGAGCAACCTTTATCATTACAGGTTGGATATTTCAATTTCAAACTGTTACTAAGCATGTGAGGGGCTGATCTATAAATGACATAATATTCAGTGTAATATTTCTTTAAATTACTCTGGAACAACCAAGATAGAAACCACAGGTAAATAACATGTCAAACAGATTTTAGACGCTGTTACACCTTTACACTGATCTCACTGACCTCTTTCTGATTATAGGTCAAGCCTCCCCTTACTTACAGCACCGTTTAGTACACATGCGTGCCCTTCTTACTCCACCCACCCACCAATCTCGGGCCCTCTTTCTCTTGAGCTACTGTAAAGCTCCCACCCCCATCTGCAACAAATGAACACGTTGCTTCCTTCAGAACTTCAACACTGGTGTGTCAGAGCTCCATTCACATAATGGTGCTCTGTTTAATGTGATTAGTCTGAAGCGAGGTTGCACAACCACAGACTGTTGCACTGCCAACAAAAGAGGCGCTGTGGCTTTAAATATTTGATTCAAGGTGACAGGTACTGGAGTGTAAGTGTGATTAACTGTAAATCAATGTAAATGAGAGGTTCTATTCAGATGTATAATCATTAAATTCACAATGTTTAACACGCTTAGCAATTTAGATAAACATCGGCTCATAAATGAGTTGCATACAACTGAAATAAAACACACTTTTGCAGTCATATCCACCTGTTATCACTCACTTTGGACCACACAATTACCAAAAGTCCACATTTCATAAGTCCTGTATGCCTCGGCCAGGTCACTTACCTTTTGAGCTTCTCCCATGATGGCACGTTTCCTGTGGCTTGGCTGGAGGGCTGCAGCTACATTCTCCAATGAAGCTCACACAGGTGTGTTAGCTATCCAGGTCCCCCAGGTTAGCTATTCAGAGAAGGTTCCAGCAGCCTCTGTAAACTTGGGTTGGTTAAGTGCTATGAGTCTATGTGATAGTAATGTCTACCTGGGCGTCAATTGCCGCTGTAAGGTTTGTGAGCAAGAAGAGGGGGAGGGTGGACAGGACTGGGATTAGGAGGCCAGAATTAGCCCTAGTCATCCATGCAAAGGCAACACCAACCCCTCCCCTCCCCTTCGTCTGTCCATCCCTCCATCTCCACTTTGCAGTGGCTTTACCTGGATTATCTCTTAGCCACCTGCTGTAGCAGGAAACATAAACAGCCCTTCCTGACAAACCTATACATACAGATAACAATGAGGAGAAATACAGGAGAAAAGGTTCAGCCATTTGTCCATATGGCTGAGGGTAATGCTGATAATGCAGAAAAACAAACACACTCAGTGCAACATGAGGACTGACAGCAAAAGAGCTTAACACATAAACTTCAGAGGATTAAATTGTGTTGTAGAATCAGGGAACTTATCATTTCTACATTCATAAGTCATCTCTCAAATCCCACATCTATCCCACTCTGTAAGAGCAGTTGATGGCATTATCATGCCATGTATCCATTACATGCAAGCTGCTATAAAGCTGATCTGTGTGGGTCGTCTGTGATGTGCCTTCCTTTGAGCAGAGCATTCAGTGGGATTAGTTCGACCACGCCTGCCCTGTGTTTGGATTAATTTCTAGGCTCCTTTTCTCAACTGAACAGGCGTTGTTGTCAATGTGCGGGGCATCAATGGATGTTAATGGATCCACCCTGGTCAGGGAATGGCTGAACAATAACTTTTGAACTCATTTTATCACACACACTTAGCCTAGAGGATGTAGATTAAATGTTTTTTTATTAAATTATGTTAACAAATATGTTTATATTAAACATTACAACAGAACAAAAACACAATATGATCATTTTTAAATGTGATAGACTGATTCTTGTTTAGGACTTTCATGGTGTGACTGGAGCTGGGATGGCTCTCTGCTCATTCTGTTCTCTCTGCATCCTCCTCTGTTTGTGTTGAGCTGCAAAGATAAAGGAGGAGAGTTGGAAGGTGTAACACTTGATACATGGAGGCAAGTCAATCTGTATTTCTATGACCAGCTGCAACAAAAGTTAAAAGATATAGATTAGCAAAATCTCCTACCAGCATTTCTCAAAATACTCATTATATATATATATTATCTGAAAGAAATCTGTGTAAAGATAATGTACAGGGCACAAAGTTTATGAGCCAGACTTTGGTTGTCTCCAGTGTTTAATCAGTTTAAGGACACTTTTATAATATATAATTATTGTTAACTTTTACATCTATAAGAAAATAGTTCACCACATCGTGGCATTGTTAGGAGACAGGAGTGTGGATACCATGTAGAGAAGTTGTTTCTTTCTTTTGTGTGTGTGTGTGTGTGTGTGTGTGTGTGTGTGTGTGTGTGTGTGTGTGTGTGTTTGTCTTTATTGGATACGACTGTGGAGATGACATGCAGCGAGGGGCCAAGGGCCAGGGTCGAGCCCGGAATCACTGCGTCGAGAGCTCAGGTTCAGTACATTTAGCCTGGGCTTTAACAACTGGGCTTAACCAGCGCCCTGCAGAACTTTCATTTACAACATTTACATAAAATATTTTTTTATATTAAATAGTGGACAATAAATAAAGTCAACCATGTAATGAAATTTGAGTGATTTTGGACAAAGTCTATTTCTTGGCATGGGGAGTTTAGTCCTGAAAGCAACACTGATCAATAGGCAACTTCTCAAGGAAGCAGTCTGACAAAAAAATTTGTATTAATCCATTTCCTCTGCAGTTCTTGTAAATATTAAACAAATCAGATGTGGAATGTTAATTGGTGAGCTTTAATCTTGTGGCTGGATGTTGCTATTTCTTGTCAGAGCCAGGCTAACTGTTTCCCACACTGTGTTTTTAGTCTATGTGCTATGCTAAGCTAACTGATTGCTGGCTGAAATCTCATTTTTTACAGACTATGACATTGTTATGAACTCTTTGTTAGAAAGCCAAATAAGCTTATTTGCCAATATGATAATCAATTTAAACTATTTGAAATACATGTAATTTGTACACTAAGGCATATAACTACTGCTAATCTGTCTTCATCACTTACATTCATAAAAATGCATTTGGAATAAAAAATGCTTTAAGAAAAATGTTTCTCTTTAAGCCCCGTGTTGTCTAATACTACAGAGCTCCTACCGTTGTCTCTTTTCAGCTTGTATTTCATAGCGATGCCCATAATCAGAACCAGGGCTAAAGCAGAAACGCCACAGATAATCAGGATCACCACACTGTTGTCTGAGGTCACAGTTACAAAGAAAAATACACAGACAAAAGTGAGGTTACACACTATCAGGGATACAAGGTGTGCATTTCATTATCCATATCTTAAAAGTCATTTGATCCTTACACTTTACCGGTGTCAAAATACATTATTTTCAAATGTTATATGTTTGATGAGTAATCATACACAATCTCCATGACAAAGAAGACGTAATCTGTGGCTTTTTGAGCTGAGCTGGGGGATGTTTACTTACTCTTGACAGTGACATCATGTGGTGAAGACTGGAAACGGCCACAAGTGCTATTCACAAAGCAGGAGTACCGGCCATTATCATCAGACAACACACTTTCCAGAACAAGCTGGCTTTTATTTTGGCCTTCGAGGGACAACTTTCCCTCCTTTTCCCATTCAAACGTCAGAGTCACGTTAGGAAGATTGTGAACACACGATAGAGTGATGTCGTCGCCTTCATCCGGCTGGGATACAGTGCTGTTGATGGAAACCTGAAAGTCTGAAAGGCAGAGTGAATATTTGAGGGCGGGAGATTAAAATTGATAATTAGATAGTTGTCAGTCTATGATAGTTGTCAGACGAGTTTTGCTCACCTTTTTCACAGTGTGACGGCACTCGAGACACTGGAAAACATGACAAGGAATGAATACATTAGGGTTAAAAACAACAGAGCATACATGACACATCCAAAGCATTCATAAAGATCACTTTATACAAGTGCAATATAAATTCATCCAATGTCATTTATTCTGCCCAACACTCGATGGATTGGCTTTAATCGTTCTATGTTTGCCATGTTCAAGTAGGCCCTTATCATTGTATCACCACACCCCTCTGCCAGGCTCTTTCTCATTCACCCAATACACAATTAGATTCATCAACAAGTAAACAAATGAAAGGAAAGAAGACACTTACTATTGATGCAGTGTGCAGAGCAGAGTGGACAAGAATCTAAACGGAGATAGAAAGAACAGGTGAGGAACATGTTTTGCATTGCAACTTACCTCGCAGTAGCCTATTTAATGTCGGACAATGTTTAGCTATTATGACTGACATGTAAAAATTCATATGTAGTCTTTTCACAGAGGGAGGTTTCAGCTGATACATGAGTTTTGTTTTTGTTTACCTGCCACAGTCTCTACCTTGTCGTCACATTTCAGACACTGAGCAGGAACACAGGCAGAGCCAAAGCAAGCTAAATGAAAGGAAATAACAAATGAACAAATATGATATATATGTATATATATATATATAGTATATATGTGTATATGAATATGTATTTATGTCTGAATTTATGTCTGAATGTATTTGTGATTTTTTTTTATCTAAACAGGTTAACATAATTTTAAATAAAAACAAAAATACTTATAACTTTAAAAGTAAAAGTTGTTCTTACCTGTGAAAAAGAGACCGTGCAAAAGGCAGAGCAATATCTCTCTCATAATCATTCTCTGGTGGAAAAGAGTAGCATCAGAAAAAAATGCTTTTTAACTTAAGAATGAGGTAAAGCTTGAAACCAAGTTCTAAAATGAAAATATTGAAATAAACTTTGAAAACCTGTATGTGAGGTATTTCACTTAGCTCCAAAATTCAGAAATACCATTTTAATGCGCACTTATTTTTCCTCTTACCTGTGGTGATGTTCCTCGTCCACAGAGTTTAATTATGACCTGCACTGCTTTGCCTAAGCTAATGGTCTCTGCAGCAAAAAAAGGTGTGCTGGTGCTGATTATAAACATTGATAATGATGCAAATAAGTTCATTCCTGGAACTTTATATCAACAAGACAGCCTTTTGTATGTTTTGTTCATGGGCGTGATGGTATGGTAAATGTGACAGCAAGGCTACTGATCCTTTTATGTCATTAGGTAAAGTTTATAGGATTTTTATTTTACATAATGTACACATAGACAGAGGGAGAAACAATAAAACAAACACACAAAGGTAAAATGCAATAAAGCCTTTTATCATCAAAACTGTACTTTAGTTGTTCAAACCATCCACAGTCCCTGACCCCAAAAAGTTATGTTTTTTGCTTTTTTTTGTTTGGTGTTGTGGCCCAATTGAGAGAATTGAAGATTTTGAGCAGGTGAGTAACATACACTTGAAGAATGTGTCTGTGGCCTTTATACACACAGTGACCAGTAGAGAGTGCTGCTGATCATCTAGGGATCCCTTAAACACACAGAGTGCAAAACACAACCCTTGCTCTACCAATGTTAACCAAACCAGCATTTAGCTGGACTATAGAAAAAGAAATCTTACGCGGACACAATCCCAACATGTAAATCTCACACAGAAAATAATGAAACTTTTTCATGAAGATTATGAACTGCAATACAAAATCAGGTGGAATAAATAAAAACATGATATATGTTTTCATTTAACATCAACCAAATCTTACTTACACTAACCCAGACGGTGCAGAGTGGAGAAGGATATTTGACACACGAGGCAGGTTCGAGTTGTTCTGTCAGCCTCTTTGTCTTACATCATCAAGCTGTGTTTACATGAACAGCAAAACAAAGCCATATTTTAGTACCTTGCCTCATTCTTTATTGTATTTAGTCATTTCAATTACAACTTTCTTTCCAAAGCAGACATGCTGTCCCATGAATAGTGCCCCATTTTATTGTTTCGGTTGACACCACCAGTGAAAAAGGGCTTACTTTGCAATACATTCATTTGTTCTTCACTTTAAATGAAAGGGCCTTTTTGTTGTAAAAACTTCTTTGAAGTGCTTGTAAAAAACCAACAAGCATGATCTTATTGCTGTATCCTTCTCATTTACCTCTTAAGACGTTAAAGCTTCCCCAACTGGTTGACTTTACAGTTTTGCAAGAACATTATTTAGTCCTAGATATTATGTCTAAACACTAATAATAATTTTGCCACACATTAACCAAATAGCAAAAGTAAAACAGGAAATTCTTTATACAAATTTGAGACTGCTTTAAAAGACAAAGCAAAAAGAGTTGCTCTGTAAAGTCTTGTTTCGCCTGCAGTCATCAGCTTGTGCGCATGACAGGATACAACTAGGTAGAGCTGATCAAGTCTGACCCGCAAACTTCAAGCAGCATCTAGCTCCTCTTCACTCGCAGTGTGTGCGTTTTTTTTTTTAGGATGGTCGCCCTAAGAGGACTTTACCACAGGTTCTCGCGTCTGGTAAAAGTTGCTGCACAAAACCAAGTCCGAAAGTATGACAAATTGTGCACCGTGGGCACTGATGGCTTGACGGACAATACGGTATGACAACTCAAACACAAACTAATTGGAGAGTGCATGTCACCTGGAAAGGTCAGAGTACTGATATAAAATCCATTTCCCCATCAACAACCAAAAAGAGTAATACTGTGTGATGGGTCGTTTTGTCGAAGGCCTATGTAGCCTAAACCACCAACAAGAAAACGTAAAATACAAAAACAAATTCAGGGATACAGCTGAAAAAAAAAAAAATACATCATAAATTAGACTAATTTATAATCATTGCACGCATGTATACAAAACAAGGCCTAGATGAAGTGCACGAAACTTCCCATGCAAAACTTGAGATCCACGAAAAAAAACCTGCCAGTCTGGAAATGTTCAGATGCCATTAGAACATTGGATGCACGATAGACTGGCAACGCAGGAGACAAGGGGATGAACTGAAGACAAGTTGTATATGAATGCTTCTTTCGTATTTAATTTCTATTTGAACTTTCATAAAACTAAGTGGAAATTTAAAAAAATCCGTTCCAGTTACAAAAATGTTGATCTTTTTTTCTGGGAATTTTCTATGAACCTATTGGTTTTCTGTCAGGATTTTTCAGGAATACATTTTTTGACATTTTGGTAAGGGACTATTGTGTAAGAATTTTTTTTAAATGTTATGGACTTTCCTGAGAATTGTCTTTCCAGAGAATTTGTGGTAAAATTGACTATAATTTTCAGGAAAACTCGTGTGGAATTTTGTGGATGTTTTGGAAAGCGTAATGATTTTTCGAAATTGTTCAAGAAATCTTAACCAAGTTTTCGTCAAGAATTTCGGAAACTTTTTCAGAAGGTTTTGAGGAATTTTGAGTGGCTTTTTGGGGACATTTCTGAAACTTCTAGAAGTATTGGAGATTTTTTTTAAAGTTGCATTGAAATTTCAAGGATTTTTTTTTGAAACCCTGAGGAAAATGTTCTGATTTTTTTCCAATCAAAAACTGATACTGGTTTCAAGATTAAATATGTGAGTAAATGTATTTGCAGAGTTCTGGATTAGTAAAATTATTTTTGCAACCTGTCGATGGCTGGATTTTAATATTACATTCAGTGACGTGTTCAATATTTCACATTTTCACAGCTTTTATTTAGCAGAGTCAATGTTTATTATGGCATCTATAGCCCATTGTACTCATTACCCACCTTGTAGGTCGGGCGATTCTTGAGTCTGTTGGGGTCCTTAGCAAAATTCACTGGGGGCCCCTCCAACTAGCATTCATTGCCATTAGATTAAAAAAATAATCTGAATGGCACATTTAAGTTTTCACAGGCATATTGGAATTCTTAGCCATGCAACAACATTGAGTTCTGTCAGATAGGACCCCCTTAGGGAGGTTTTCTTCTGTCATTGTAAAATTCTGATTCACTCACTGATAAATTTGGTTTAAAGTGTGTCAGTCCTTGGTTTCGCCCCCTATTGGCCAGGGGCCCCAAGCAGTTGCCTACTTTGCCTGTTGACAAGCAGCACCTCTTGTGTAGGAGGGTGATGGCTTTCATGACATGATTATCATATTTGAGCCAAGTTAAGTGACCAATTGAGAGGACAGCATTTCATTGAGTTCTTGTCGTTTATAAATTTAAGAACAAACTCAAACAAGAACTGTCAATTGAAGTGTGATTGATAATAACAACCGATGACTGAATTTCATGTGCAATTCATATCTAACAATCATGGTGAAATTATGAAAGAAGAAAACAATTATTGAAACATTGTTCCCCTATCTGAACTTACACAATTAGTTCTGTCTTACATAGTTTTTCCGTCTCTTTTCATGGTTGAATTGGCTTTCATTTGTGTCTCTTGGGGATTCAAATGTTTTGTTTTAATTGTATGCAGGATTCTTCATATCCAATATCATATATTTTTAAGGTAACAACATTGCAAATGAAGACAAAGTTTCACATCCCTAAACAACATCTCGCAGGGTCTCTTAACAAAACTCATTAAAATCCACTCACTAGTTTTCTGTTTCAGCTACGTGAAGTACTTTTTACTACCTTTTACCTTTTACTGGTTTTTAGGTAACAACACCCCAAGTTACACATATTTAACAAAGTAAAAAAATGTTAGCATTAAAATACTTATTTTATTGCTTTGCATTAAATCATACCTGTTGGAAATATGTAACGTTGTAATTCCTAAAAAAATCATAAAAGTGGTATGTGGCATGAATTTACATCATTAAATATGTGGCTATCTGGAGGAGCCGTTTTGCTTTCTATTTTAAAGCTTGTAGTTTTCACTGACCTCAAAGTAAAAAACAACAACTTTGGTTTGACTAAAAATAAAAGAGAGTTTTGATTAGTTAAAAACACTTCAGATTCAAGACTGTTGTTGAATCATTACCCTAAACTTCTCCAATTAACTGAGAGGCTGCGCTTGAGGAGTAAATGAGTGCATTTGTCTTGCCTTTGTTCCCACATCATAGTGTTTCTCAAGACGTGGGCCGAGAACAGTTTGATCATAATAACCATACTTCCTCTTTTGTGGCATGTTGCTATGGCAAGACTTCCCTTCCAGGCAGGAAGTGACAGGAAGACCCAAGTGATGACTCTGTGTGTGTGGTGTGCATAAAGAGTGTATATCATGTTTGGGTGGAGCACTGTACTGTGTCCCCTGACAGCGTGTGCGTTGCCTTAAGACTTCAGTTTGAGGTCTGGTCTTTGGGCAACCATGGCGAAGAATGGTAATGCTCTGGGGATTCCTGTTGGCCACATGGTGAGATCTGCTATAGTCGTTTGTTTATGCATTCATAATGTTTTAAGAAAGAGGCAGTGATAGTAATGTTTTAATATTACGGCTACGTCTTCTAGTCTGCTTGTTTAAGCTGGCTCAAACTTTTGCACTGATATCCAGGTTAGAGTACCCAGAGTTTGTTTGAGAAGTTTCTTGTGCTTGTATTGCCTGTCCAAATGCCTTAGCAGTACCAGAACCAATCAGGCTGTGTGGCTACAGCTGGTTGCTTCTGAAAACAGAATGGGCCACATTGTGTATGAAGTAGAAGCCAAGCCATGCCTGTTTGCCTATCTGTCATGTGTAGGCCTATAGCTGGCTTCGGTTTTTACTCCGGGGGATTGTTATTGAGACGTTTCTTGAATGGGCTCAGAGCTGCTACTAGAGTCAACATAAATATGATTTTTTTGTTGTTGTTTTTTTTTGTTTTAGAAAAGAAACTGTGTGATTTTTTTTTTTTTGTTTCTATGAGAGGAAATGTCTCCAGACACTTTCCTTGAACAGTGCATTTTTCGTCCCTAATTGAGAAACAAGCAAGTCAACGATGATGAATCGTTTTCTTGCGTAACAGTTTGTTGAAGATTGTGCACGAAGAGTGTGTGTTTGCTTCTCCTGGCAAGTTCATAGGCACTGACATGTTGTGTTTTTGAGTTTGAGCAGTGGAGCAGAAAGAGTGAAGAGGTGGAGCCACAGCTGAGCTTGCACCTGCAGAAACAGACGCCCCATGTCAACCTTATATGGGCAAAGTATATCAATGGCCGAGAGCTATTGTTTGTGAGCACTTGTCAATGTTACTGTCATGCCAGTGTACACTTTGATCAGGTTTACGCTCACAAATCTAACCTAACAGACAGACAAATAGATTTTGACCCCCACCTACAACTGTAATTCCCATAGATTCAAACATAGAACTGATGTGCCTTTCATAAATGTTATTTTCTGGAAGTCGTTCTTGTGAATTGCAATTCTTGGCTCTTGGCACCGACATCAAGTGTTGGCTGAATTTCGTTTGAAACTCATTTGTTTAACGTGCTGATTCTCATTCTGAAATACCTCCCTGAGGGGGTACTTTTGATCAATATCTATAGCTATCGAGCTGATAACTGTATCACATGCAAACACAATGGCTTTTAGCACAGGTCTGTGTGCCAAGAGATTGCAGACTTTACTGGCAGACTCTGCAAATAGCACATTCATCTTGAACTGAAAAAGCAAGAGCTTTTGAGCTCTGAAATGAACATCCGAATGAGAGCTTTTGTCATCAGTGTCACAACCACTTCCTGTGAGAACATTGACTGATTTCATTACATTGTTAAATACAGAGGGAAACAGAAAAACTCACACTGCCACTGTTCATATTTCACTTCATACATGTATGCCTGTGTGTTTTTGAGAAATAAATTGTATTTGAAGCTTTTGTGTTTATACTATCTTGTGACACTGTGCTACATAAAACAAAAAGCTTAAAGTATATTATGTACCCTTTGCAACCTTCACTGTTAACCTATCCAGTAATGCCACAGGCCTCCATGTATTCCAAATGTCAGATGCTTTCCCCTGTTGTTCACTAGCTAATCTCTCACTCTCTCTATTCACAGAGTCAGGCAGTGTCAGACGGAGGTAAGTATGACAGCCAACTTGCACAACAACAGTCATGTATACCTCACATATCTAAGAACTAAAGCATGTCTGTGCTTGTCACAAGGAAGGATCTTTTTCAGTGTCTTCCTTAGCTTTCCTGCACTGATAAATGGGTGTGTTTGTGTCTGGGTGTGTTGTAGAGTTGAACATGTCTGCACGGGGCTGTGGAGGCAGCAGCTCCAGCCTTCCAGGGACACCATGCGGAGAGGCCGGCCCAGCCAACAGCGTGATGAGCTGGGCCGTCTCATTTGAGAAGCTGTTGGAGGACCCCAGCGGGGTCCGGCACTTCACGGTGAGACCACAATAAACTCACATTGTGTTGTTTTCTTAAACAAGTTCTGGAATAATTTGAGTGTTGGTGTTGTTCCACATGTCTTGTGTGTGTTTGTGATTTTGTTTTTTTCCACAGGCTTTTTTGAGGTCTGAGGTGAGTGCAGAGAACATTTTATTCTGGCAAGACTGTGAAAAGTTTCGGAAGATCCCATCCAAATCCTTGGATAAGGTATGAAGACAATTCGAACCTCTTTACTTAGTGAATCATAGTGTTTCATTGCACTGTTGTATGTCTTACTCTAACTTACCTCTTGTTGTAGTTGTTTAAAATACTCATGATGTCTATCAAACTTTTTTTTGTAGTTGTAAACATGATGTCAAAAGTTAACATTTATTGCTTTGTTGCAATACTGTGTCTGAGGCAGCCTTCAGCTGATGATCAAGTTGCTATATTTGATGAAGGACTTAGTTTACAAGCCTTAAAGTCACATTAATGATCTATTCAATAAAACGATTAAACTAGGTTTATTCTCTGCTTTAGATATTTGTCTTCTTTTATTCTATTCGTAATACAAGAATCCAGCTGTGAAGCTTTTAATCTATTCTTTACCGTCTTGGCAGCGATATGGTTTTGTTGATGGTTATGAAACAGGACATGTGGACTAATGAAACGGTAGCTGAGTTCATGCACGTACTCAGCTTACAGAGAGCTCCATTTGAGTGACTTACTGATTGTATTACTCTGTGTGGATGCTTGTGTAAAGGTGGTTTAATTCTTGGGTCACTCTAACAATAAAAGGCACCCAGCCAGCATATAGATCTGTGCACAATGAGAACTTGATTCAGTGTGAGAAGATGTTCCATCAGTGTGGAAACAGTCAAAAGTTTAGGTCCTATATTCAGTCTGATGGAGTTGTTGTTTTCTAGCTAAAGGCAGCAGCTCGCTCCATCTACGACACCTACCTGTCTGACAGTGCTCCCTACTCGGTCAACATCGACGACACAGCAAAGACAGAGGAGAAGGACCTTGAGCAGCCCACCCCTGAAATGTTTAACAAGGCTCAATCACAGGTCTGAGGGAACCCATACTGCTATTTTAGCCTAAGAATACAATGGTACATGATTTGTGCCCAAGCTGACAGTGTGTGCTAATGTGCCCGCTTTGTTTCAGATATTTAAACTGATGAAGATGGACTCCTACAGGCGTTTTGTGCGCTCTCCTCTCTACCAGAGCTGCACCTTGGCAAGCGTGGAAGGCAAACTTCTACCTCAGCTCTCTATCGAGCCAGTCTGCACGGGGTCCTGGGAGGACATAGTCAACAGTAGCCCATTGTCAGGTGACAAAAAGGTACAGCGTCAGGGAGATTATAAAGGCTGAGGGCTAGGGTAGAAAAAAAAAAAACATGTGAGTGCTCTGTGTTTTAATTGTGCTGTTATTGCATTCTTTCATCAATTTGTCAAAAAGAAAAACAGGTCCGACTTCAGCAGTTTGTCAGGTGGAAAGAGTGCCTCAGAGAAACGGCATCAGAAAAGAGGATCCTGGGGAGGTAACGTCATATCAATCCTGTGCTTTTTAAAATATGATTTCATTTACATCCTCCTGGCTCAATTCCTCTTCCTTCCTTCCTTCCTTCCTTCCTTCTTGTCAATAACAACAGACTCATCCAACATCCATGGTTTAGTCTCCAGGACAGACTCCCATCTGTCAGTCAAGTCGAGTAGCAATGTGGAGCTCAGCTCCCTCTACAGGCAGATAGAGGTCAGTACAACAAATATAATAGGCTATCTCATGTCGAAATCAGTGTTCAGTTAAAGTTGTATGATTACAGAGGCGCACATGCAAGACGAAATTAAGATGCCAAGTCTTACAGGTGGAATAAAATCTAAGATAAGTTGACTAACTCTGTCATTTTGAAGGATATTTTAAACTTCTAAGTTCTTTTCTCTCTCTTTGTCTCTAATGCAGAATGGCAGATCGAGTCCCAGGTCCCCAGAGCAGGGTGGTGGAGGTGGGGGTCGTATAGGAGTGGAGGGGGGCTACTGCTGTGTGTACCTACCTGATGGGAGTGCCTCTCTGGCCCCTACACCTACTGGCCAGCCAATCAAAGACATGCTGGTGAGTCTGTGTGAGAAGAGGGGCTTCCCGCTGAAAGACGTCATCATCTACCTTCAAGGCAAAGACAAGGTGAGCGCGTAGGTCCTCTGTCTGCAGCATCTGCCACTGATTTCTATCGAGAAGCTAAAAATATATTTCGATGAACTGTGCAAAGTTGTTATGCAACAAGTGGCATGAAAATATGACCAACTTCTTCCGTTGTAATATCCTCTCAACCTCTCTCTCAACCGTTCTTTCTGAAACTTTATAAAAGTGATTAGAATTGTCCCAAGACAGTGTTTTTTTCATCTCTTATGAACACTTAAATTACTCTCACATATTCCATATCCTGTTTCTCTCTCTCTACAGCAACCCTTATCACTGGACCAGGACTGCTCTGTACTGAGGGATCAGCAAGTGTCTCTAGAGCTCAGGGTGACGTTAGCGTGAGTCAACCTTGTCACTTCGTACTTCCTCTCTGTTTTTTTTTTTTTTTCGTCAGCCTAGCAGGCTTTCACACCCGCAGCTACACCACAGCAGGCTACTTCATATCAGAGGGAAGTCCTTGTGTTATCACCATAGGCAGACACCGGCTCTCCGTCCCATGAACATTTGCATTGAACACATAATCTGATGGGCTGCCAGATGTTAAAACTTGTATTACCTTCCCTACAATATTATTGGTTGGTCGAGTTTTCTGTGAGAGCGTGCGTGTTTAATGACGCCGTTCCAATACATTTAGCATATTGGAGTTTGTGCGTAATTTATGGAAAAGTTCTGAAAGTACATTTCTGTTTCAGACTGGAGGTTGCTTTCACTGGTAAGACGGTGGGGATCATGGTGAAGTCCAGTAAGACGCTGCAGGAAGCTCTCTGTATGGTTCTGCAGAAACACCAGCTCAAGCCGCAAGAGGCGGTGATCACAATGGTCAGTGATTGTCACACAATGAAATGACTAATTTGTGTAATTTTGAAGGAAGAACTGATTTTTAAGTTCACTTCTAACTGATTGCATTTCTGAAGCCTGCAAGTGTTTATCAAAATGGAAAGTGATGGCTGTGTAATGGCAGAGTAGCTGTTAAGCGCCTAGTTATGGTAATGTTGTGCTTTGTTTGAGGTCAAGTCAAATAAATGAGTCATCCTTACTTGTCAGAAAACCGACTTGTTTGACATTTTCAAACGTAGAACTGACGTCTTTCCTGTCAGCTCTTTTCTTTACAGCAGCTTTCCTCTAAGTATTTATATGACACCTGTTATCACCGTACAATGTAAATGGCATGATTTGTCTGCGTGAATCTATGAGTATTTTTTTATTTGTTTAAGGTCGGAAGTAATGAGCCTGTGAACATGAGCTGCTCTGTGTTCAGACTGGCCAACAAGACTCTGCGGCTTGACAAAACCAAAGGTTACTATCTTCACCTTTTTGAACCCAATCTCTCCATCTAAAGTGGAGCAGATAAAGCCATGTTTATGTCTTCAGATGTTACTACCCTCCTTCTCTTGGCAGATTAGTAACTGAAAATAGTTGAATCAAATCACATTTGGCACATATTAGCCCTCCTTCTACTCATAGCTGACATTAAAGGTAGATCCATGAAGTTGAGCTCTTCTTCTTCTTCCTCTTTTCTTCGGCTGTGTCCTCTCATTCTTTTGATTGTTGCATAATGAGTGTTAGAAAGTGTTTCTGCATTCCTTGTCCCTAACTTGCTCTTAGCTGGCGGCAAAGGGAAAGTCTTTTCACTGTCCCCATTAGTGCCCCGTTTTCTTTGTGTCACTGTCTGCTAGTTCCTGCTTTTCTGTCTCCTCAAAATTCTTTGTGCACTTTTTCTTTTCTGTGGGGTTCAAAACGTCAGAGTCTATTTGTTTTTTTTTGAGTGTAGCATTCCCATTCCTTCACTTCATTTCCACACAACTGAGTGACCAGAACCAACTTCACTTTTGGATCAGTGCTCAATAATGTTTAATTCTTGGAGGGGGGGGGGGGGGGGATACATTGTGTAGTGTCATCAGCAGTTCACTTACTGTACTGTTGCAAACTTATTTCTATCTGTTTGTTTTTAGCAGGAAAGGACAGAGCCAGTGGTTCAGCTGCAGCCACACAGGTGAGGCAATGATAGTGTTTTTGTAAACCAACAAAAAAATGTCTGCCATTATCAAGGAACTTCACTTGTGTATTATTAGATTACATGAAGGTCTTTCCACAGGAGGTGAGAGAGGCCTGGTTTACAATTGTTTCATGCTGTTGTCTTGATCAAAATGAAATTATTTAATCCCCCTTGGACAAGATAACAAAGCTGTTATCATGAAAGAGGTTCATTCCTTTTATAAGTTATGTTTATCAGAGATCAGGAGGTCCAGGCCAGCATGCAAAGATAGTATCTTGTCAACTATAGCAAGCAGCCAATTTCAATGAAGGACTTCATCACTTGTCAGATATGAACTCCCATCAACAGTCATGCCATATTTGAGGTCTTAATTATGTATCACAATGTTTTTCTCCTGAAAAGATGATCTTGTTGTTAGGGTAACGGCTTGTTGTTTTCCTGAGCTCACTTGACAAATGATCACGTTTTTCATGATAATAAAATAATTACGTTGTTTTAAATAGCAATAAAATAACTCTTGTGCAATTATGGCTATAATTTGAAATCCAACGCCATCCATTATATGTGTATGAATTTGGACACACAAGTTATTTTCATTTAGAATATTCTGCTGCACTTGCATTAAACAGTAAGTAAAGTAGGCAATATAGAAACTTTTGTTCACACTCAAAAGTCAAACAACTGTATAAAATGGTTGGCAGTAAAACCGGACCACATAAGATAATTAGAGGAGTGGTTAAGTTTAGTGGTTTATCAACAGTAATCACTGTGATTTAGGTATTGAATCCTTCTGAGATTATTTTCTTTTAGAAATGATATATAACCTGTGAGCAGTCAATTTTCATGCTCTGATATCACTGGTGACTGTTTTGTTCCCAGTCTGGAGCGGGGAGTGCAGGAGGTCTGGAGGCCCGGTCATCACCACGTACAGACAGAGCCAAAAGTCAACCCAGACCCAGTAAGAACAGCGACATGGATGGTAGGACATGTGATCTAGCAGGGTTGGGCGATTTAGACATTTAGATGAGAGATTTTCCATATTGTTTATAACATACATTTACGATTTAAAAACATTTAAGGACACCAGCTCCTTGCGTTTTAAGTCATTCTGCAACGGATTCCAGGCTGAAGGTGCAGAATACCCAAAAGCCCTTTTTCCCAATTTCTGTTTGAGCGTTTGGGACAGAGAGGATATTTTATAAAAACAGTTTATCTTTATTTAAACTTTGAATGTACTTTCATTACCTTGAAGGCCAAATTTCCACGTCTCAAAACAAAAGGGAGCCAACTTTGTGATGAGATGTTCTTTTTAGACCTTTCTCAAATGAAGTCAAAAGAAATTTGCCAAGGAAGATTTTGGGTTACGATCAAGGAGAAAACTGCAAAATGGACTCAGGGGTTGCTAAGTTTTATCAGCAACAGTTTGAAAGGTCAATAAATTCTGATTTGGAATTCAATGTTATATACTATAAAGGTCTGTTTTTAAGTCGCTTTATAAAATTATATAAATCATAATTTTATCCAAATAGCCCAACCCTGGTATATTTGCTAGGATAGATCAAAAGATAATAACATTTCACTGTGTTACTTAATTGATTATCTAGAAACAAGTATCAGAATTAGCATGCAGCTTTGTGTGTGTCAGGGCTTCTGGATATGCTGACGAAGGCTCAGTGCTCCAGGGTTGAAGACCAGCGAGGCCTTTTGACCAAAGAGCAGCTGGAGGTCCCGATGTTCCTGCAGGTTCCCTCAGGTCAGGCAGCAGCTACAGACCAGCCAAACACAACCACCACTGCAGACTCCAAAGAAGAAGAGAAATCACTAACTTCAGCCAAAGTCACATCCGAATCCCCTGGTGAGGACTTCAAGGAAACGGCAGTTTGAAAGACTTTCACGTGTGCAATGGACACAAACACGATGGAAAGCTACACCAAACACCTTGTAACATCATGGGACCAGTCATGTTAGGAGACAGAAACTAATCTTTTTGTAAAATATGGTCTAGCACTTTTTTCTAATGGTTTCTAAATAAGCTCAGAGACTGCAGTGTGAGTCTCTAACTCTGCTATAATTGGACCCTTGAGGCAATATATAAAGAAGAATTGTGGCAAATATTTTAGTGTCATTTGAAAACACTACAAATCTGACTGAAATAAGTGTTTGCTATGAATTGTTTAATGGATCCAAAACATGCTTGAAAATAAGTTTTATCTCAACATTTAATGCTGTGGATTTTCAGTTCCTTTTATTTCTCACAATCTCAGTTTGCAGACATGCTTTTCTTCGAACTCTTGTTGCTTCACAGGACTGTCCAGAAGTGTGTTTTGAAGTGTATTGCACGTTGTTTTGTTTTCTTTATTCAAATTAACATTATTGATTTTTAGCTTTTAGCTTTTAGCTTAGATGTGTTTTAAGAATGTTGCATTACTAATTGTCATGGTGTGTGCTTAGTTGCTTTGTTCAAAAGAATGTTTGTGCTACTGAAAAATGAACTTGTTTGCTGTGAATGCACTTTGAGAAGTCCTGCTTTCCTGTCACGCCAGACTACATTTCAGGGTCCATATCATGAATAAGTTATCTTATAAAACAGAGACTGAATCAGATAATGTGAGCATCAGAAATATCCCACAGGGTGTTTTTGGAGAATTAAAGCCTTTTATGATTGAATGATTTTCTTCCTGTATGTGTTATGTTTCCAGGGAAAGACATCAGGTTCAGCTTTTACCCTCTGAGAGGTTTTTTTTTTTTTGGGTAAACGTCTGAGGCTGGTTTTTGGTTTGACAAATGCTACGTGAGTTGGTTTTAAATGTCATGCAGTCAGACCCCACTTCCCCTGTAGACTGCCTGTATGACTCATGTACAGTTCTGATATTTGTAAAAAATAGCTTTAATTATATTTTGTGTCTCTGCTTGTGAAACCTCCCTCATAAATGCCATCATGTCATGATGTCATTACTACACAGCGGTGGTGGATCATTGCAGGGTTCTGATTGGCTCTTTTGTGAAGGCTTATAGCCAATTATATGCTTGATGTGTCCTGAGACTTGTTGCTGGACTGTGTTATTTTCTAGTTGAAGAGCCCGGGAGGACTATTATGGCGTGCATTTGGCTATTGTATGGGTTACAAAACAGATTAGATGAGTCATAGATGGATCCATCCACATAGATGATGTCAGCAATGTAAATATTTAATAGTAGGTTATAGGGTTTGGTTTGGGAAGCATCTCATTCCCCCACCTTGCTGGCATCATCCCCATATAGATGTTTGTAGCAGAAGAAATGAACATGCGACAATGAATGCTTTTAAAGTAAAAATGTATATGGGAAGTGGGTTACACCCAAAGTTTGTGCGTGTGTGTCTGTATGGTGTGTGTGTGTGTGTGTGTCTGTGTGTGTGTGAGAGAGAGAGAGAGAGAGAGAGAGCATCCAGGCATGACTGGTGCGTCGGCGAAGCTATGAATGGGCAGAGAGGGGTGTGCTCAGACACCAGCAGCAGTGAGATGAAGAGTGCCATTTACTCCACTGCACGTCTGCACTGAGGGGAGACAAAAGGGAAGAAAAAGAGGAGAAATCGGAGGTGAGTGTCTGAATTTCTCCAGGCATTTCACAAATGTCAATTTTTGGGGATGTATTTACCTGCCCTTTTCTCGCTGTCACTCCCATCACTCATCTTCTGTCACTCACTGCATCTCTGTGCCTGATTAAACATCTTATGCTGTCTTGAGATAAAAACCCTTAATCTCCTCTTTCCTAGAAGAGCCCATATTCACATTCAGATTGAGTACAAATGCTTGCTGCTTTTGCCATTTTTTGTGTTATTGACTGCTCTCAGGATTCTATGTCGGGATAGATAACACAGGCTTTGTATATCTGTAAGTGTTTATTCTCTAAAATCAATCCTCTGCTAATGGGAGCTCTTATGGTACTCCCTGTGCCTTTGAGAGTCCTACAGAGACATACACAAATGGTGTAAAACCAATTCCATCCATTAGATCAGATCAATCCTTGCAAATTCCACTGCCTTAATAGTATTTGGTCAGCTTGTGGAGGACGGAGTCTGAGCTCAATGTGGTAGGAATGAAAACGATAGCAGATTCATTAGCACAGACTCTGTTATCAGGTGGGACACACATGGTCGAGCTGTGATTCAGGCTGGCGGCAGCTGTTTCGGACGACTGCTGACTAAATTCTTCCAGCTGGTTTGGGTGTGCATGTGTATCACACCTGAGTGTATAAGACAGACAGCCTATCATCATCAATTACAGGACATAATGTCCTTGCCACTGGGAAGCATCTTAATGCGCTCCCTACACTGTTAATGGTGCAGCTACCGTCCACATGTTCACTTCAGTGTGTTGTTGTGATTTACCAGCCTCTGTTAATACACATATCTAACACTTATGATCTTAAGGGATATGTACATTTAAGAGCACAAACCAGGCTGCAGTTTTATGACCTTGGCTAGAATTATGGGGATTAGCTGACCTGAAGGAGTGAAAACAACCCCAAGGTGTCATCACTGAAATATATGGCTTAAATGATCTCCTCTGTCATCTTATCAAATGAATGAACTTTGATGACCAGTTGGGGGACACTTTCATAATAGCCAAGACAACAGAAATTGATGTGTAAGTGCAACACGACTTTTACAGTTCTCTTCATATCTTTTCCGTGCTTGTGAAACTCTGTCACACACACGCTGAAATGAAGATTAAGCGCTTCTTGTCACGTTGTGCTTCTCAGTTGAGGAGTTAATTAGTAAGTTGACCCAACACTTAAAGATTTGAGCTGAGAAAATCTCAGTCTCTGCTTGGTGTTATGGATCCAAATCTTCAAAACAAGGTTTCTTATTACGCAGATGCTCGCATGAATTATTCATTACAGACTGTAAGGGGTAAGTACTTTTGTTTAAAGTTTTCTACCTTAAATTTCTCCTCCTGTTCTTGCAGTGACTGAAAGTGATGGGGAGGAAGGAAGATAGTGGAAAAAAGACTGCAAGGCAAACTATTCTATTTGCCCATCCATGCAGGAAGAGTTCTTGAATAGCTTTTAGGGCAATGGTCTTGGTGCTGCTGCTGTTGCCTGCATATAATAAAGAATAGGCCTCTGTGCATGCATGCATGCATGTATGAGTGTTTGTATGCATACCGCAAAGGAGATTTTTGGATGTGTCACCTTGGCTGATCTTAGCGTGCTGAAGTGGACAAATCAATGGAGAAATCTCCTCTTAAAGCTATGCTTAAAGCTCCCTCTGGCCTTTTTGTTTTTTTATTTTTTTAAACCTTAGTTACAAATGAGATGCACTTCCACTGCTTCAGTCTAGCTTATGGGGCTCTTAATCCTTTTGCATGGTGTACAAAAGATGGATTCCTTATCTAACAAAGAAGACAGATAGTTAGGCAGTGACAGGGGTGAAACCGGCAAAGTAAGCAGGCCAATCATTCACATTCAGGTCATTTCCATGAGTGAGCTGGTCAGAAAGAAACACTCAGGAACTAAGGATTGTGGGACCAGGCACCAGGGTTGAGATCTTCCAACTCTTATTGACATTGCAATGCACATTTGAAGTATGTTTATTGAATACAACAGTCTTCTATATATGCGGCTGCATACGTGTTTGTGCATATTCGGCCACACTATCTCTGCAGAGTCAGTCCCTCAGGTACAGAGTATTCAGTTGTGTTAGCGAATACTAGAAAGTAGGCCTTGTTTAAATCATTTACTTTAATTTCTTCTTCAGTCTAAATGAACTTTTAATGGAGTTGTCTGCAGCACTAAACACTTCCCTCACGTCAGCCCCCCCACTGAGCACTTGAGCTCATTTCAATCAGCTGCCATTTATTTTTCATGGAATGGATTGTTGATGGATATTTGTAGCGATATCATAAAAGTATCTCAACAGTTTAATAAAAATAATGATATTAAAGTTAAAATTATTTTAATTTAAAATCAATCATAGCAACAAAAAGATTTATACAGTGGACAACTGCTATGCTGGGGAGCGTCAGTTCACACATCTTGTTCAATTTTTTTCAGTATAACAATGCACAGAAGCTGGGCTTGACATGTTTTCGTAACAAACACTCAATCTCTCCTCATCAGCTGTGGGTATCTTGTTTTTTATGGGGTAAGGCCGCATTGGCACAGGCTAGCTAAAAGTTTACCATTTTTGAAAAGTGTTAATTTGAAGAGTTCATTTAGGCTATCAGTTCCGTCTTTTTCTGAAGAAGAGACATGATGTTGCTGAGACCTGCAGAACCACTATGTTGGTTGATCTTTTTGTTGAGTAATCTCATAATGCACATGAATAAAATTGTTATGCGCCACATTAGTGAAAGAGAGCACATCTTCACCTGCCCCATCATTTTTTAGGCCTAGCAGAAGAGGACAGCAGTAAACCACCCATTCACTCTGAGACATGAGGAAGTATTTAGATCTAATCCATCCGGGCTGACGGCAGACAAGCTGACATCGACCGGCAGCACTGAGATCAATGAGGAATAATAAATCCCTCTCTTATAAATGGACCCAGACCCCAATGTGCTTTGTTTAAGAGACACCAGTGTTCCTGACACCAGCTGTGGATCTGGCTGTGACTGTTAACTGCTCTTCGCTGTAGCTTTTCAAAAATCTCTTATTTTTTTGTATGAATTTCTACAAATGTGTTTGAGAGCATTGGTTTGTGTGCGGATCCAATCCTTTTAAAAGCAAATGATTCTTTCTGGTTCATTTTTTGTTGAATTTCAGGGATGTGAGCTCAGTGTGGAGAGTGGGTGAGAGAGGAACCTGTCACTGATGGGGTTGGCAGCAGTAACCACAACAGGCAGTTTGTAGGGCATCTCTGCATTTAGGAGTCACACAAGGCTTTCCTTTATAACCTTCAATAATAAAAGTGTTGGGTTGCAGTGTCTACTTTGATGATTGCTGCCCAAAGTTCAAAACAAACATAAGATACAGGAGTCTGTGGTTACAAATCAAAATGAGAACCAATAATGGGAGTAGCAGATTGCAGTCTGTGGTATAACAATAAGTACTGACTACCATGATAAATCTAACATGGAACATCAGCTGGGTATATATGAAACATTATTGGATCCCTGAGTCAGCATCACCATCTAGTGACAAGAGGTTGTAACTGCAGTTCCTGCTTTTCTCATTATCTCTGACTTAATATGTGGGTTCATATTTTAAGAAGAAAAATAATTCTTGTAAAAGAGAATGCATTACAACCATTGTTGCTGCATACAACTACATGTTTTTAAAAGTGTCTTTCTCCTCTTTAATTTAATTAACAGCAGTGTTTCAAAAGAGATCATCTATATACCAAACCTGCATCAGCACTGAACATCTCTCACTTCAGCCATGGAGCAGAAAGTGAATGAGGTGTGTGAAATCCTGACATATTAGTAAGTGAGATATTCTGGCCCTGTGTACTGTAATGATCCTCCTTATTATTTTCTGGTCCCTCTAGTGTCACACCACCACCTCTCCTCAGAAGCACATGAAGAACAGATCCAAGTCCACAGAGGAGATGCAACAGACAAAGAAGGTCTGACATAAAAACCTCTCTTTCCTATGTTTCAAGCTCATTTGAGTTTCATAATCATCAAATGAATTTTAGTTTCATACACATTGGATCTAATCTAATTCCCCTGTTTTATCTTAAAGAC